AAGACCTAATGGCAGACAGACGATGGTGATGTTGAGACTAAGCTGTCCTTGGAGGTCGGGCGCCGACTGCAACAGCTGCAGGATCTGGCAGAAGGAAGCGATAGGAAGGTGTGATTGTGCCAATGGCATCAGCTGACCTAACTTCTTTAACCTAAAGTGTCTGGTTATATTAATAAAAAGTAAAACAAAAATCCTGGTCTTGTCCAATACAGAATCATTTTTTAAATGCAGAATACTGCTTTCATTCAATACAGAACCTTGTCAACCTATGCATAATTCTTTCCCGTCCAAACCAAATCCAGAATTCTTGTCATCCACTTCATATGCCACTCAATCATGTAAAATCACTCGCCTGACAGCATAACTTGTTGAGCAAATGCCATCAAAATACACCACTGTAACCATTTCTATAGGTGTAATCATGTATCAGTACCTTCATGAATATACAGTAGGGTATTGATATTATTTAATCAAATTCCTTGCGCAAGAATGTATCTTTTCCAGTGTTGTGAGTTCACGTGAACATTCACCACAATGTTACAAATAATTCCTGAATCGGCACCCTGAATTACAAACCTACTAATTGCTTGGTGTGGTAAATTATTACACAGGACTCGATAGAGGTTTTTCTTACCCCCCGCTCCCCGGCCTTCGCACTTGGGCTCACAAGTGACTACATCAAATTTATCCCTCTAAGAACGAAACAGGAGGATTTCTCCACAAATCTGGCTAACGCCTGATGATGCTAGTTGTAATTACTGACGAAACAGTTTAGTTTCAGTTTATTTTGGTATAGCCCTGTGAGTCATTCGGCTCTTGAATCGGGTGCAACCGCAACAAACAAAAAAACTAAAACACGAACAAGAAAAACATCTTAAAGTGACTATGTGACTGTGCAAACAGAAAATCCATGAAAAAAAACAGCAAAATATTCCTGAAAAAACCACCGTACACCAACGCTGTGTGCAAAAAATCCCAGTGGGATGCAAGTCAAACAACAACCACAAAACTTAGGTTAAGGCCATCAGTCTAACTCCATACTACAACAAAACAAACATGTCCAAACCAAAAAACTTTTCGAAATAAAAAAAATAAAGCCATAATTGCAACGTAACAGTGATCACAAGGACTGTGACCGAATTTTTACAATAAACTACATAAATAACATGTAACACCAAATCCTAGAGCCATAACTGGCTGCATGAGTTACTCCACAACAACAGAAGCATCAGTCGGAGTATCAAATGTTTCAATGCACCTTTAAGATCAGCACGCTAAATCAAAATACAGATAATACTTTGCAGCATCATCCGGAGCGAAACATTTTATTTTATTTTACGCCAATGAATAGTGACAGCTAGGGGTGTACAACTCCTCTAGAGCATTATGGGACCTTTGCCAGAAACAAGGAATAGGTAAAACCTATTCCTATATCTTGTTTCTGGCAAAGGAGGTCTCATTGTTAATGCTCACCCCGAGCCCTCAATACTCTGATAGTGCGCTATTTTTGAGTTGTACGCCTTTTGGCGTCTTCTGGTCCAACACCAATGGAGACTAGGCTCTAAGAAAAGCTGTCTCGGGTGTGGACCAATCAAATTCAAGGACAGTGCATATTTTTATCAGTTGTCTTTTTTGTCTGCATTTTGACTGCTTGTGTTGTGGTTATTGCAAACATGATGCCTTGAAGAAAGGTGTCAGTTTTTGTGCCAGTTAAAAGGGTAAAACCTATTCCTATATCCTCTAGAGCAGTTTTGAGAGAAGATCTCATTGGTAGCGATTCAAGTTGCAGTTTATTGGCAATAGTATTCCATACCCTGGGAGCATCAATTGCAAAGGCCCTTCCTACAGTTTTTGTACGGCAATAGGGAATGTGAAGCTGGTAAATGAGCGAAGACCTGAGGTAAAATTTGTTCTTTGAAACAGAGGAGATCCAGCAGGTAGTCTGCGGATTTTTTTGTAAGTACATCGTGAATAAATAAGATCTGGTGCACAAGCCGTCGAACATTAAGAGATGTTAAGTTTGACCCAATGTAGAGATCACAGTGGTGAGTCCTATATGGGCAGTTCAATGTAAATCTTAAGGCCGAGTGATAGATAGAATCAAGCTTCTTCAGTACAGTACTTGGGGCTGATTTATACACGATGTCACAGTAGTCAAGTAGAGGCAGTATGGTAGCTTTTATCAATTCCAAACGGAACATTGGGGGGAAGCAGTGCTTGTGTCGATACACAAAAGCAATTTTTATTTGTCTTTTTACCAATATGTGATCTTAAAAATTCAGTTTTGAATCCAGGATGACCCCAAGATACTTATAGATCTTGACTTGCTCTATTTGATAATTTGTTAAGGAATGTCATTGGGGAAAAATAGCTTCCTGCGTTAGTCCTGGTGAGAAGCATAGCACCTTGGTTTTGGAGGTATTCAGGACTAGTTTAAGAGCAATTAGCTGGTGTAGTTTGTTGAAATCACCCTGTAGCTTAGCAATCACGTCATCCGGAGAGCGGCCAGCAGTAATCAGTATCGTGTCATCGGCAAAAAGATTTACCCTGGAATGATCCAGGTCAGTGCCCAAGTCATTGACAAAGAGAGAACAAAAGGGGGCCGAGGATGGAACCCTGTGGAACCCCTTTTGTTATCTTAACACTGTTTAACCTCCAACCAACTGTGAATACAGTTTGGGTGCGAGAAAATAGGTAATTTTGTAACCATTTTACTACGTTTTCGGAAAAACCAAGGCAACTTATTTTACTAAGCAGGGTGTTGTGGTCTACTGTATCAAAAGCTTTGGACAGGTCTAGAAAAAGACAGGCGCAGTACTGCTTATTATCAAGGCTACTGTAAATGTGATTCAGAGAGTCTAATGCAGCAGATGTGGTGCTGCATTTTTTTCGGGACCCAGATTGTTTTACATGGAGTAGATTGTTGGTGGACAGGAAACTGCTAATTTGGTAGGTCAATAATTTTTCAAAAATTTTCATCAACGGGGACAAAATTGAGATAGGTCGGTAGTTATTTGGATCATCTTTAGGGCCCCCTTTGTGAAGTGGACGGACATAGCTCTTCCAGCTGAACGTGCCATACACCACCTGTAAATGGATCACAGACTTCCTGTCTGACAGGAAGCAGTGCGTTAAGCTGGGAACACAAGTCTCTGACTCCAGGTCCATCAGCACCGGAACTCCTCAGGGCTGCGTCCTTTCCCCTCTGCTCTTCTCCCTGTATACCAACAGCTGCACCTCCAATCATCTGTCCGTCAAACTATTGAAGTTTGCGGATGACACCACCCTCATTGGGCTGATCTCTGGTGGGGATGAGTCTGACTATAGGTGGGAAGCTGACAATCTGGTGACCTGGTGTAGCCAGAACAACTTAGAGCTAAATGCTCTAAAGACAGTTGAGATGGTTGTGGACTTAAGGAAGAAGACCTCACTCAGGCTGCGCCATGTGTATGATTAACTAGGCCTCACTCAGGCTGCGCCACGTGCACGATTAACTAGGCCTCACTCAGGCAGTGTCATGTGCACGATTACCTAGGCCTCACTCAGGCTGTGTCATGTGCACGATTACCTAGGCCTCACTCAGGCTGTGTCATGTGCAGTACTACCTAAGCCTCACTCAGGCTGCGCCACGTGCACGATTACCTAGGCCTCACTCAGGCTGCGCCACGTGCACGATTAACTAGGCCTCACTCAGGCAGTGTCATATGCACGATTACCTAGGCCTCACTCAGGCTGTGTCATGTGCAGTACTACCTAAGCCTCACTCAGGCTGCGCCACGTGCACGATTACCTAGGCCTCACTCACGCTGTGCCACGTGCACTATTAACTAGGCCTCACTCAGGCTGTGCCATGTGCACGATTAACTAGACCTCACTCAGGCTGCGCCACGTGCACGATTACCTAGGCCTCACTCAGGCTGTGTCATGTGCAGTATTACCTAAGCCTCACTCAGGCTGTGTCATGTGCAGTACTACCTAAGCCTCACTCAGGCTGCGCCACGTGCACGATTACCTAGGCCTCACTCAGGCTGTGCCACGTGCACTATTAACTAGGCCTCACTCAGGCTGCGCCATGTGCACGATTAACTAGACCTCACTCAGGCTGCACCACATGCACGATTACCTAGGCCTCACTCAGGCTGTGTCATGTGCAGTATTACCTAAGCCTCACTCAGGCTGTGTCATGTGCAGTACTATCTAAGCCTCACTCAGGCTGCGCCACGTGCACGATTACCTAGGCCTCACTCAGGCTGTGCCACGTGCACTATTAACTAGGCCTCACTCAGGCTGCGCCACGTGCAGCCTGAGTGCTCCGATTGTAAATGTGGATTTGCTATACCAACACACCGGTGTGTTGTACTATAAACGATTTGGCATGTTCTGTTGACGTGACAACCCTTCCGAATTGGTGGTGGCGGGTGCAACGACACATTTACGCGATCTAAGCTAGAAAAGACCCCCTCTAATATGGATATTGATCGCGAAAGCCTACGGATTAAACTTACACAGAAATTTTCTCGGTTAGGTTATCTGTGCTTTGAAGTTTTCGTGACTGCAGGGATCCATACTCTTTGGTTCTTTCGGTAAAGTCAAGTAGTCGGTATAAAATAAATTAAATCATAAAACAAAATGTTGACGGACGCTTGTGTTGCGCCCGAAACGTCGTGATTTATTTTATTTTATACCGACGTGACTTTACCGAAAGAACCAAAGCTTTGTGCACCGCTGCCCAACACAGCACCACCCCCCAATAAATTACATTTTCGTGTGCGTCTTGTAATCTGGTACTTTACGCGTTCATTCATTCATGTTCCGGGTGGGGGGTGGCCCCCTTCGTTTTTTCTCTCGTGTAACTTTGTGAGTGAACCGCGTGAGCTCGCATCTACTTGTCTCTCTCTCTGGCTCTACGTGGGACAAGAGTTCACAAACGCTTTGTCGCCCTGGGGGCGGGGGAGGCGCGAGATCGGGCACGCGAGGGGCGCTCAATCCGCCCCGAGGGCAGCGAGCGCCGCTTGAAGGTTCATCCTCCGTGGGCCGCGTTGCAACATTGCACTCGAAGGCGGCGGACCGCGGGGAAGAGTTTTTAACTTCGTCGCGATGCGTAGATTCGGGAGGCTTTTTGGCGACTACATTTTAAGTATCCGCGGGTAGAGGTTGTGTTTTTTTCTGTTGTTGTTGTTGGCTTAGATCGCGAAAATTATAAATGTGCCTTTGAGCGCCGCCAGCGCCACCCCGACGCAGCCAATTAGTTGTGTGCTTGGTGTGTGTCACGTAAAACGTGACAATTCCTTACGAGCTACAGCAGTCACTTAACTGTTGGTTTCATTTTAGCTGCGTTCAGATTTTAAAGTTTGTCGTGAAGTTGCGAGATTGTACTTTTGTTCTTTAATTAAGTTTTTTTTTTAATCGGCGTCAAATGCCGTCCAAGGCTCCACGCAAAGCGAAGAGGCAAAAATGCGAGGTAATGTAAAGTTACAAAGAATAAGGGTTTTACCCTTTCTGACAATGAAACACGTGTTGTTAAGATGTAAAAAAAAACACCAAACCAGAAGCCTTTTTCAAGGAATCCTGTCTGCAGGATTATATTTTGGTACCAGCAAAGAAAGGTCTCCCATGTTGTAATGCACATCTGTTGTCGACGGTACATCGGTAACGACGCAGCGGCAAATCCTGCACCTTCACTACACGTAAAGACGACACACACACATATCTTATGTCATTTGGTCACAGAGATGGTTTGTCGAACCACAACGATGCACGAGGGGATGTTGAAGGCCGCGGCGGGGCTACGTGGGGTAGGAGCAACGGGAGGGCATCGCGGCGAAATGTTGTACTGAACTTCTATGTCTCGCGTCGGTGCACCCGGAGCGCTGGAAGGACGGCCATAGCCTGGCTCTACGATCCTCACACATGAACACTGTATCTAGGGGAGCCATAGCCTGGCTCTACGACCCTCACATGAACACTGTACCTAGGTGAACCATAGCCTGGCTCTACGACCCTCACACGTGAACACTGTACCTAGGGGAGCCATAGCCTGGCTCTACGATCCTCACATGAACACTGTACCTAGGGGAACCATAGCCTGCCTCTACGAGCCTCACACATGAACACTATACCTAGGGGAGCCATAGCCTGGCTCTACGATCCTCACACATGAACACTGTACCTAGGGGAACCATAGCCTGCCTCTACGACCCTCACACGTGAACACTGAACCTAGGGGAACCATAGCCTGGCTCTACGACCCTCACATGAACACTGTACCTAGGTGAACCATAGCCTGGCTCTACGACCCTCACACGTGAACACTGTACCTAGGGGAACCATAGCCTGCCTCTACGACCCTCACACATGAACACTATACCTAGGGGAGCCATAGCCTGGCTCTACGATCCTCACACATGAACACTGTACCTAGGGGAACCATAGCCTGGCTCTACGACCTTCACATGAACACTGTACCTAGGTGAACCATAGCCTGGCTCTACGACCCTCACACGTGAACACTGTACCTAGGGGAACTATAGCCTCGCTCTATGATCCTCACACATGAGCACTATCTAGGTGAACCATAGCCTGGCTCTACGACCCTCACACGTGAACACTGTACCTAGGGGAACCATAGCCTGCCTCTACAACCCTCACACATGAACACTGTACCTAGGGGAGCCATAGCCTGCCTCTACGAGCCTCACACATGAACACTAGGTGAACCATAGCCTGGCTCTATGATCCTCACACATGAACACAACCTAGGGGAACCATAGCCTGGCTCTACGATCCTCGCACATGAACACTACCTAGGGGAACCATAGCCTGGCTCTACGATCCTCACACATGAACACTGTACCTAGGGGAACCATAGCCTGGCTCTACGTTCCTCACACATGAACACTGTACCTAGGGGAACCATAGCCTGGCTCTATGATCCTCACATGAACAATGAACCTAGGGGGACGTTAGCCTGGCTCTACGATCCTCACACATGAACACTGTACCTAGGGGAACTTTAGCCTGGATCTACGATCCTCACACATGAACACCGAACCTACGGGGTAGCCTTATTCCGACTCTGAGCGTGATACACAAATACTGAAACCTTGGGAACCTCAGTCTCTTCTCAGCCTCACACATGAACATTGTATCTGGAGAAGTCTTAGAATCATTCCACGAGCCTCATAAATTCACACCGAACCGTAGGGGAGTCTTAGTTTGGCTCTGAACGCATGCATTAACATCGAGCCCTGCGTGGGCCTTCATCTGGCTCTATGAGCCGCATACATTAACACTGCATGCTAAGGAAGCCTCGGTCTGGCTCAATGAACACCAAGGTAACCTTAATCTGGCTCTGAACGTTAAGGGAACCTTTGACATGAACACTGACCCTTATTCTGGTTCAAAACGCCTCTGACACTTTACTACCCATCACCTCATACGGTGGTGAACAGCAGAGGGAAAGGCAGCAACATATTTTGTTGTACTGCACTCCTATGACCAGCAGTGGATTGACAAAGGGCCTCCCCCGTGTTCATATGCTTGTCCCATCCCTTTCAGAGTCCACAGCGATCGCCTCATCCCACAACAACCACAACCACCACCGCCGCCGTCGCTGCTGCTGCATCGACCGCAAAGGCCGAGGGGGTGGACGAGGTGGACGAGGATAAGCAGGAGGAGGTGTACGTGGAGGAGGGTGGGACAGACCTCGATGTGGAGCTGCCCACGATGACGTCGCTCGTTCACGACCGGCCCCAGCTGCTGGAGCAGAGCCTCCGAGCCGTGGGGGACAAACAGACGAGGAGGATCCTCCCGCCGAGACTCTCGGTGATGGAGCAGCACCACCAGCAGCGGCACCACCAAATGACATCAGCAAGATCATTGTCATCAGCAGTATTAGCTGCACCTTTGTCATCGGTAGTCATAGTGGAGGTCGAAACAATTTCAACTCCGTTGGGGCACCACGATGGGCGAGACGTTAACTACCTCACCTCGTATACAGGATGTCGTGGGTTCGATCCTGACTCGGAGAGATGTTAAATACCTCGCCTGGTCTATAGAAGGCCATGGGTTCGATCCCGATCCTGACGCCTGTTGTATATTTGGAGTGTTTTTCTCACCCATGGTCTCGTGGATTTTTCTCCCGGTCCTCCGATTTTTCCCTCCACACTTATAAACACGCGTTTAGAGTATTTGGCTGCTATAAATTTCAACGTGATAAGTCACTTCGTTTGGCTAACATTTGTGACCATGTCACTTTTGAAAAAGAGCGAAATAGCTCAGTGGGCCTTACTTGGTAAAATACAAAAAAATGTGTTTAACATCGTGAGTTTTAGCATGTCCTATCAGCAGGATCTTTGTTATAATAGCAGCAATGGCTGTAGTAGTAACAGCATTATTTTTAATGATGGAATTATGTATCAAATTATCGATTAATAACAATTCTTAAGCGCATGCTACTTCCATCGTATCCGTTGTGTAATAAGTAATGTTTTGTCAATTCGTGTTGTGTGGTACGTAATAGAGTCACGTCACCCCTACAGTCACCCGTGGGTGCTGCAATTTACTGCAATATAAAACAATATATTCTTCAATCAAATCAGGGGGTTGCTGTTGTAATAACAGCAGTATCGCTCGAAGCAGCATGGAAAGCATCAGCAGTGGTGATAGCTTCCCGAGTGGCAGCCGCAGCAGTAGCAGTTGCATTAGTAGCAGAAGGCATAATCATTTTATAATTCTAACACCGTATATATGGTTGGCTGGTGTTGATGACAATGATGGCGATGTTAACGATACCATTGGTACTAATGGTGATGGAAGTGATGGTGGTTTTGCAAATGATGATTGTTATCACATTGATATACAGTATTGCTAATCGTGATGTTAATGGTGATGTTCAGGCCTGTACCCTGGAGGAGGTGAAGGCCCTCTGTCTGGAGCAACTGATGCTGATGTCAGACAAACAAATCCACCAGGTCCTGCAAGGTAACGCTGACCTAGTCTGGCTCCATGAGTCTCGCAAATAAATCCTTGTATGGCTCTATGAACCTCACACTTTCAAACTGAACCCTTAAGGAGGCTTAGGCTGGTTCTGTGAGCCTCGTTAACAATGAAACTTAATTTCACCAAGTGAGATGTGTACATGAACACTAAATGATAAGGGAGCCTTAGTCTGACTCATTGAGCATCATATATCAACACTGCACCCTAAGAGAGCCCTTTTCTGGCTCTTTAAGGCTCCTGCATTACCCTGCATCATATGGAAGGCTCTGCTTGGCTACTTGAACCCTAACAGAGCATCTCTCTGGTTTTTTGTTCTGTAAACATTGTCTTAATGTTGGTGAATTAACTTTTTCCTCTGTTAGGTGAGCCAGTTGGGTCGGATTCAGAAGAGGATAAGATGGGGGCAACCACCAAGGACGGAACAGAACAGTGTGAAAACAGGTAAGTGTGTGTGCCTCTCCTAGATCAACTCGGCCTTAAATAAGTACCGAGTGTGGTGTGTATGAACATCAACTGGGGAGACATGCGGCCAGGTGTGTTATTAGCCACAGCATCCCCTTGTGCGTCGTGTCAGCTTCCATAGGTGTCCTTCCCCTGCATCTCCGATTAGCACGGTTGGCTTTGTACGGTGCGAAAAAAGTAAAACATACGTACACTCTAACAGATGCTCGTGAACAGCACATGCCCCAGCAATATGGGTATTTGGAGGCCCGCTGCCACAACCATTTTCAGTCCACTGCCTCTCCATGCCATGTGGGCCGTGGGGATTATTTGACCACACGTTACTATGCTGTTCAGTGTGAGTTGGCCGAGATGGGGAGCATACGCGTATCTGTACAGAAGTGAAGTGCAACAATAGACTTTGTGCACTGTCCACAACGCTGCAGCCGATAACTCCCAATTGTGTATGATAGTAGTGATCACCAATCCAAGCACTACCGAGGCTCAACGCTGGATATTTTTAGGCTGTTCACATGTTTTAATGTAATCCGAAAAAATATCAAAAAATGTGGATACCATTGGTAATAATGGTGATGGAAGTGGATATTTTTGGATTGCCTACCTGTTAAGCTGAAAATCCAAAATTGTTAAAATATGAAATCCTAATGTATTCATTCATTTGTTTAAATGCCAATTACCAAATTACCAGGAATGTACCCAATCTGATCAGATCTGTCAGGTTAAACAGAGTTTAGCCTCATTAGTACTTGGATTGGTGACCATTACCGTAATCAGATTTCGAGTAATTTTCATTCCGCACTATTCATGTAAAATGTCTTCGTGCTAACAAAAAAAGATGCATTACCCGATATCACGTGACACCGTTTTGGCGAGAAAATCCCAGATGTGATGTCATGAGTCGCGTAATTTTCTATTTTTGGATCAGTCCGAAACAAAAGTAAATGTAAGATCATTGAAAACGTATGATCTTGGCCAGATTTTCAGATTTTTCAGATTCTTCCAAATATCGTGAGCACTTGCCTAATACGTATGCATTTGCGTGTTTATTTGCGTGTGTTTATATGTATATGTGTACGTGTGCCAGGCAACACAGCCAGTGCATGGACACCACAAGTGCAGCCTCTGTCACGTGCACCCAGCCTGGTGCTGAGCCTGACAATGAGGCCACACCGGTCGCCACCACAGGCAAGACTCCATCACTCCTACTTTAGCTGGAGTACCCCGCCGGGTCTCCTCCCAAGTCCACTCTGCCCAAATGTTCTCATGAGCTATTGCAATTTGTATGAGAATAAGATGGTCCAGGCATACTTGTTGGTGAGCTCTGCCTGAAATTAAACAGATGAGGTTCATGTTCGTTAGCAATGGCTTCGAGACACGTGGAGTCTGGTCGTACACTACGTTGACCTGGCCCAAAATGATTTTGGTGTGTTCATGAACGTTAACGTTGAGTTGGAGATAGAGATGGTCTGGGGGGGGGGGGTTTACATAAAGCAAAGCATAAAAAAACTAAATGATGAATGGAGCAAAGTGCCGACTACACCGAGTGTCTTCTTGTTTCCTCTGATCGTAAAAAAAAAGAGATGGTCTGGGAAACAATTAGGTTAATTAATTTTTAAATATACTCCTTTTGCAGATGGTGCAATATCGTGCGCGGAGAGCGATGCCTTGAGTCTGGTGGCGGCCGGGTCCCTCTCTGAGGATGAGATCGAGAACGATGGAAAGGAGCAGGAGGGAGATGAGAGGAAGGTGGAGGAGGAGAAGGTGGAGGGAGAGCAGCGGGTAAAGGGGGCTCCCTTGTCTCCCCACGGCTCCACGGGCAGCAGAGGTCTCCCCGATTCTCATGGTAATGATCTGCTATTCTTGCATAATGCACACTTGATTTTATGATGATTACATTTTTATATAGTAATAGGAATTCTTGACTTCACATGTCCCCCAGTCTCTTGGTAAGAATTAGCTGTGTTTACATTACGTATTATCCGGGCCAACGATTTATGGATTCTAGATTTAAAGCTTTCGTGACTGCTAGGATACATACTCTTTGGTTCTATTGGGTAAAGTCACGTAGGTGAAAATAAAATAACAAAAAATCACGACGTTTCGGCCACAACACAAGCGGCCTTCATCAGGTGAAGGGACGAGACTGTCTGGAGGACAGCGCTGGAGTTGGAGAAGCCACGCTTAGATCACGACCTTTAAGCTGTGTGAGAAGAAAAACACAACGCCTTGACAAAGGAATTAGCATATAATTTAGCATTGAAATGGCTCATTGAAATAACTAAGTTAAAGTATACACATCCACAGAGGTACCCCTTGACAAAGGAATTAGCATAGAATTTAGCATTGAAATAGCTGAGTGATTAGCTTGTAACTGGTCACAGAAATAGCTATATTAAAGTCAGAGCATATACATTCACCGAGGCACCTAGTACTCATCAAACAGGAGAATTTAGCGAAACAACCACGCTCAGACAGCGGACCTTTAAACTGTGCGAGCAAACAAGGTGTTCTGACAAAGAAATTAGCATAAAAATTAGCATTTGATTGGCGGATTTTAGGAAAGAGGTGGTGTACGTGCCGTTTGGCGCGGGGGGGGGGGGGGAAGGGGGGGGAGGGGGAGCTTACCTATTGATGGTGTGAAAAGGGAATTTATAAGAGCTGCGAAAGTTTGGGGTACCACTACTTGAAAAATATACTGTACTATTGAAATTAGTTTAATGTTTAGTTCGATTTAGAACATCTTTCCAATGGTTGCTTAATTTGAAACCATCCTCTCGGTTGAAATTGTGTCTGTGTTTGTAGATCTGAATTTCTTCATGAACAAAATAAAAGCCCGTGGGTTTATCAGAGATTTGTTCATGAAGCAATTCAGATCTACAAACACAGACACAATTTCAACCGAGAGGATGGTTTCAAATTAAGCAACCATTGGAAAGATGTTCTAAATCGAACTAAACATTAAACTAATTTCAATGGTACAGTATATTTTTCAAGTAGTGGTACCCCAAACTTTCGCAGCTCTTATAAATTCCCTTTTCACACCATCAATAGGTAAGCTCCCCCTCCCCCCCTTCCCCCCCCCCGCACCAAACGGCACGTACACCACCTCTTTCCTAAAATCCGCCAATCAAATGCTAATTTTTATGCTAATTTCTTTGTCAGAACACCTTGTTTGCTCGCACACAGTTTAAAGGTCCGCTGTCTGAGCGTGGTTGTGTTTCGCTAAATTCTCCTGTTTGATGAGTACTAGGTGCCTCGGTGAATGTATATGCTCTGACTTTAACATAGCTATTTCTGTGACCAGTTACAAGCTAATCACTCAGCTATTTCAATGCTAAATTCTATGCTAATTCCTTTGTCAAGGGGTACCTCTGCGGATGTGTATACTTTAACTTAGCTATTTCAATGAGCCATTTCAATGCTAAATTATATGCTAATTCCTTTGTCAAGGCGCTTTGTGTTTTTCTTCTCACACAGCTTAAAGGTCGTGATCTAAGCGTGGCTTCTCCCACTCCAGCGCTGTCCTCCAGACAGTCTCGTCCCTTCACCTGATGAAGGCCGCTTGTGTTGTGGCCGAAACGTCGTGATTTTTTGTTATTTTATTTTCACCTACGTGACTTTACCCAATAGAACCAGAGGATTTATGGATTCCCCAATATCGATTCCTTAACCTCGCAATACATCAATCGAATCGCATGTGTGAGAATAGATGTTTTTTTATTGTACGTTGGGCCATAATAACTAGAACTGCACGTTACAAATGCGTGGCGGATGCCATTTTCCGAAATTATTTGATTTAGCGTTGTGCCTTTGCGCTGAGCCAGGCAGAAGCTTAATCATTTACAGAACGCAGCAGCAGCATAGTCCTCAAGCTACTGCTAGGCTTTGTTAGCATATAGCCTTGAACAATGCGTCTCACCGTCTAGTCTTGCGTCACAGCAACAGTTGGCATTGTCACGTAATCGCCACCTGTGCTGTGCTGGCTTTGCTACACACAGATGGCCGTGTGTGACCAGTTCGGAAGTCTTATTGAGCAGGACCCAGTCACATTTTCTGACATGCTCATATGTAGCGCAGAGGCATGTCGTGCCTAATTGGAAAGGATTACGTTTATTGTTATTCTGTACAATTTATGTTGTAAAAAAATTGTGCCTGGTGAGTGTTAACAGAAAATAAGCCTGTTTTTTCTTGGTTTTTCATCTTTAGGTATGGTTACAATGTATGATATACCATGTAATGTATAAGTTATATCATTTTAACGAGAACTGACAATTTATTTTGCCTTGGTGTAGAAAATTATCTGATCATTAAACATTTTAAAAGTTATGCATTATTTTGTAACATAACTGTCTCTCTCCTCTTTCCTTACCTCTTATTTGTCTCATGTCCCTCTCTTCCCTCCTCTCTCCTCTCCTCCACAGCCCCACACTCCCTCCCCGCTATTCTCCACCAGACCCTGGATGCACTCCTCTCGGACCCACTGCCTTCCTCTCCCGCCTCGTCCTCCCCCTCCTCGTCTCCCACGTGCTCTTCTATCGAGGGCGTTGCAGCCGGAAAGGCCACACCTGTGCCGGGCTGTGGCCCTGCCCACGATATCCTGGAACTGGAGCTCAGGGCTCGTGCGATCAAGTCGCTCATGAAGGCGAATGAGCGCAGGCTGAACTCCTAAGGACGCCGCTTCCCCCGTTGGGTTCAGAGGTCGAAGCACCTCCGATTAGTACGGTTGGCTTCGTATGGTGCGAAAGAAGTTTACCGTAAATACGTACGGAAACTGATAGGGGTACTTCCTCTTGGCACGAGTTTTCGTGATGTTCCCTGCGCTGAGCTGTGTCCTTTCCACGATGTCATCCTAACCACCACATCCGTGTTTGGCTCTTGCTCTTCTGCCTTAGATTTTTCCTACAGATCCTACAAATTGTCATCAGTTTTTGCATTATCATAGCTAATGACCAATCGAAACTCATTCCAAGATTATTCACGCAAAGATTTTCACAAGATTAAAATAAACTTGATAACAAATTGTCAATTGCATTAACAATTAAGTTCATAAGTATCTGGTCAATTTATGCATGGCCCTCATTTGTAATAGTGGAATACCTGTGAATGTTGTGGGGCTGGAACCACGTGCCACCTATGCTGAGCCCTTTTCTCGCACAAAAATGAATGAGCCTTTCCGAGTTGTCATTGGGGATGCTGCTGCCATGCGGGGGGGCCAATCACAGTTCGGAGGCCATCTCTGGAAGTGCGAAAGAGATGGAATTGAAGTCTCCCAAGGCACGTGGCGAGGTTTTGTTGGGTTCATTGTCTGCTCTGAGAACCGGTAGAAATGGTTTTTACTGGTAGGAACGAAGTTGTAAACTGAGTGTACCAGCCTGCAATAGATTCATGTGTCCGTCCGTCCGCCCGTCCCCTTTCAATACTTTAATGAAGTGAAATCTCGTGCTGTTGGGTGTAAAATCAGCAATAGACAGCGCAGAGACTTGTCCTACCAGCCCACCCTGCAGGGACCTGTTAATGTCGTCAGGTGCTTCGTCGGCAGGTGCGTATGCTGCGGCTACAAATAGGTTACCAAGGGTGTAGCCAGTTGCCTGTTGTTTACTGGGCACCATTCTTCAAGGGCCTACTTTGCTCCCGATCAAGGGCAATGGCCACCCAGGAAAGCCGGGGAGAGCTGCCTGTGAGCCCTATCCACAGGTTGCTGTAATTTCCTGTTGTGATTTCACCCGCACCGAGCTATGGCACCTCACCGCACTCCCATGATGCTAACTCCTGCCCTCTCGAATTATTTTGAGAGGCTGTGCATAGCACTTGGTTGGCAAAAAAAAGGTGTCTGATGTTCCACGTGCTTAACCCTCAATGTTATATGCGCAGTTGGTGTCTTTTTGTCTCGTCCACCGTAACGCGCTTCTCACGGCTGGCCGGTGAAAATCCAGGCTGTGCGCTCCCTTGTCAACCCTTGCCACGTGCAATGCGGTGTGACGGTATACTTGGTGGTGTGGCTCGTGGGGAAATTTTCGGCATTCAACTTCCCCAACTGGCCCCCCCGTGCTGATAGGGATGCAGGGTTGGTAGCTGGGAGTTCTAAAAGTTGGGTTCCGTTGAGCCGGCTACCCAGCAGCTCTTTAACCTCGGATGAAGAAAAGGTTGCTGAGCTGTCGGGACAAGTCCACGCACCGTTGGGCCCTTGTATCGTGCGGGGCCAGCATCTGCTCCCGGACCGAATATACCGCCAGGATTTAATTAAAGCGTTAATTATTTATGACTACTCACGGGAACTGATTACACATTTGCGAATGACTGACTCGTTGACAATTTAACACGGTGAATAGCAACTTGATAAGGATTACCCAAACTCACAATTACACTCGATGTACTAAAGGCCAATATTGACTCCATAACGACCAATGCAGGCTGGCGGCTAAATTGAGATATCTTAGAAACGAATGACGAATCTATCCTCACTCAAACGCTCCCCCTGTAAAGGCGTCGCCATTGAGTCTGCGCTCGAGCGATGTTATTGCAATGACGTAATGGCACGTGATAGTAACTTGAATACCTTTTCCAGCATCAATGAGCACGGTTGGCTACTTAGGGTGTGAAAGAAGTTCAACAAACATGCGTAACCTGGGACATGCAGCCTCGGTGAGTAACAAGAATAGTTACAAGAGAAGGGCTTGGGTGGTGTATAAATAGTGAAATTGACAGTTCATTTATTTATTGTTCATATTTTAATTGTGTTTTTCACGTGTTTAATGTGTGGAGCCGTTGGAGGTACTGTTCGTTTGCGTTCCACGAGTGCTCTTCACTTTTTATTAACACATGTTCACGATACAGGAGTGTTTAATACACGCATTTCAAGTCCAGTTGGACGACCGCAGCTGCATGATTTAATTAAATCTGGTTTGTTGCATCCGAGTACTGTAGATGTATATTGGAGCGCGCTCGTCCATGTTTGTGGGTGGATGCATGCGTGGATGTGTGTATGTATGAATATGTATGATTGGGGAGAAACTGGTGATCCGAGTTTTAATCCCACTCACGACCAACAGCAGTGCAGATTTTCTTAACCGGTCATGGGCCTCCCCGAGGTTCATTCAGCCTTAAATGAGTACCTGGTGTGGTGTGTTAACATCGCCACAGTGGAGACAAAGGCGACTGAGGGTTTTGCTGGCTACCCACCCCCTCGTGTGCCGTGCCAGCCTTCATAGGTCCTCGTTAACAGCACTTTCCCCAACACTCAAGTCTATCAGGGTGATCTTTGTATGAATGGCGTGTTGTAAATGGGAGTGATGCGTGCGCTGCGCTACAAACCCGGCAACCCCAGTTCGATTCTTTCACGCAATCAGTAAAAGTGGCCGATATATGGACCGGTCTTGGGTTCTCCCGAAGTCGACACAGCCATAAATGAGTACCTGGTGCGGTGTATAAAGCATCTGCACTGGGAAGACAAAGGCTGCCCGGCATGGTGCTAGCCATCCCACCCCCTTGTGTGTCCTGTGCCGGCCTTCATTGCCGCTCGTTATTAGCACTTGCGCCAACGGTCTGTTAAAGGCTAAACGTGAGGAATCTTTGTGAGTATACATGTTTGTATGTTGTGTTTGCACAGCACCAGTTTCTGAAAAGTAATTGATAATGGGCATGTAACGATTAATCTCCCCAGCGAGACAATTAAAATTGCGATGATTTGGAGCTGTAATTGGAATCAAGTTACTTTGTTATATTTTACATCCTCATTTGTATTTTAAAGTCCCTTCCCCCGTATTTCCTACAGTTGCATTTGCTCTATTAGGACATGCTACATTTGCATACAATTAGCATACATTGTAATTAATTCGTATTTGTGTGAATTATGCATGCGGTACTTAGTTTACAGCTGCTCATCTAACACTGGATAAAGATGCTCTCCCACCAGCACACATTGTTGGGTTATGGGAGTTATTTAGCTATACTTCACCATGCTGGTCAATGCAGGTTGGTGAAGCCGGCACGCACCAGGACCAGTTCATGACATCGCTCGCCACCAATGTCAGCCGTGGTCGTAAAATCGAACTTGGTTCGCTGGGTTCATAGTGGAGTGTGCCAACCCTCTGCGCCACCCAATCGTTCCATGCCTACTCATAAATAACGTTCTCTAGGGACTTTCAACGCTTCTCCCAGCTCCGGCGTGCGTAGGTAGTGCTCATCACAATCGGTGGCCCTGATCCAGCAGTGGAAATTAGACATCCCCATGGTGTCGGACAGTCCTTCCGTAGAACGACCACTGCTTTTGTTACTGACACTCCACAAGGTGATGGTATTAATTTTATCGACCCTCCAATTAGCACGGGTGGTTACGTACCGTGTCAAAGAAGTTCAACATACATACTGATGTTGCTACTGCTGACATGGTAGACGATGCCGCTGCTGATGATTTACATGTAACGCTTAATTACAAATAAGAAACTCATAAAGTGCTCCACAATAAAATCAGAAAATACAAAACACTGGGGAAAATAATGGAAACAAAACAGCAATAAATTGTGAAAACGGGATAACAAAACAATGATTATTCTATGGCTGACGCCACTGCTTATGATGCTGTTGACGATTATTATCCTTTGACTGGTGCTGCTGCTTATGCTGATGTTGAATTGATCCTCCACGAGGTTCTTGACTCGTGACCTGAGTGAGAACAGCAAGCGCTCTGATTGGAGCGACGTAACCGCCCCTTCCCAATTATAGAGGCGTTGTTCGACGCGTGTGCGGCGATGGCGCAGCCGTCGATCGAGGGTCCAATTCGAACCGCGTTGTGTGATCAGCATGGCGCTCACTGAAGGTGAATGCCTTCAGGGAAGTCGTGTACTGTAGATGCAACTGCGCACAATTCTGTGAGTCACATAACTGATTTGCCGTGACTTATTGCCAATTATGGACAGACTATTGTCCTATCATCTCAGAGTCCCTGGCACGTAATAATATGCTACACAGTGGCAGTGGGGGTCGCAAAATGCCGATTTATTACTAATAAACTCCAATGATCCGATCGAAATTAGGGACTTCGATCAGATCATTGGGGGGCACGTGCCACCCCACTGGCTCCGCCAGTGCCCCTTCCCCTCCGGCTCGGTGGAAGGTGGTGGAGTTGGATCACATCCCTGTCTCTTCATCCACTGGGTCGGTCCACTGCTGCCTGGCAAAGCTCACAAACACCTGGGCGGGCAGAGGTGAACGGTCACATTGGGAAAGTTACGCGGACAGTCACTTCATACAACACAATGTGACTGCGTCTCAAGACGCTGAACAGAAACGGGGATATATATTACAATTACTGTAGGCGTTTAGCTAGGCAGTCATTCACTTTGGCAGGCAGTCACTCGGTTAATAAGCAACTTGGTAAAGTACATCGATAGTCATTTAGGCAGTCTGTTAAATGTGGTTAGCTGCCACCGGTTGCGGTTAGCTTGGGTCCATTGTATGTTTGTATATTGAACTTCTTCGCACCATACATAGCCAACCGTGCTACGGTTAGCTAGCGCCCATTGTGGTTACCTAGCACCTGTTGCTGTAAGCTAACACCTGTTGCTGTAAGCTAACACCTGTTGCGGTAAGCTAACACCTGTTGCTGTAAGCTAACACCTGTTGCTGTAAGCTAACACCTGTTGCTGTAAGCTTAGACCTGTTGCGGTAAGCTAACACCTGTTGCTGTAAGCTAACACCTGTTGCTGTAAGCTAACACCTGTTTCTGTAAGCTAACACCTGTTGCGGTAAGCTAACACCTGCTCCGGTAAGCTAACACCTGTTGCGGTTAGCAAGGGCCCACTGCGGTTAGCTCGCACCTATCCTGGCTAGCTAGCACCTGTCGCGGTTAGCACGTGCTTTTTGGTGGTTAGCTAGGGTATGTTGCAGTTAGATAGCACCTGTAGATGTTAGCTACGACTATTAGCTTCAGTTGCATTAGCTAGGTGTCTTGTAGTTAGCTAGTGCCTGTTAGCTAGCTTCTTTTGCAATTGGCAAGCATCTGTTGTAATTAGCTATCTCCCGTTGAAATTGGCTTGCATCTGTTGCGGTTAGCTAGTGCCTGTTAGCTCCTCTTGCAATTTGCTAGCATCTGTTGCAATTAGCTCGCTCCTGTTAGGTAGCTACTTTTGCAACTGGCAAGCTTCTGTTGCGGTTAACGAACTCCTGTTAGCTATCTCCTGCTGCAACTGGCTAGCATCGATTGCCGGTGAGCCAGTGACCTGTCACTCGTTCTGACCTGGTCCAGCGTGGTCTGCGACACGGAGAAGTCGGCGATGCCCAGCTGCTGCTGGTTCTCTGATAGCGCCGCGAAGATGGTGGAGAGAGTGGCGCACGCGGAGGCCGTGGCGGTGGCACCCGCAGAGGCGCCACTCGCGCCGTGAGTCGTGATGGCGCCCGGCAAGTGGAAGTACATGGTGCGGTGGTGGCGCTCGCGCAACTCCGTGCGTGGGAATCGCTTGCACACATACTCCGCCACTCGCGTTGCAGCAGCAGCAGCGGCGGCGACGGCGGCAGCGGGGTCAGCAGCTGCAGCATCGGCAGTATCTGCGGCAGCAGGATCCGCGGTAACAGCAGCAGCAGGAGGAGTGCCAGCAGCGAGCCGTATCACCAGAGTGTGCCCTTCGCCAAAGCTACGGTTAATGGGAGATGAAGGGGTAGGAACAGTGAGTGTTGTCGAGTCCACCTGACATCGTGGTTCACTTAACCCGGCACAAGCACCGCATCAACTTCGTAGGGAATAGCGACAACTTGTTTATTTGTGTACGTGTGTGTATGTGTGTGTTCTGGGACCGCCTTAATAGGTGCTCGCTAACAGCACTTGCCCCCAACAGACTGTTTAAAGGCTATCACGAGTGTAGCGGATAGCGCGCTTCGCTAGGAACCGAGCAACTCGAGTTTGATTCCCGCTCATGGCCACCAACACCAGTGCTGATTATTTGAGCCGGTGTTGGGCCTCCCCTCGGTCGACTCAGCTTAAAATGAGTACCTGGTGCGGTGTGGTGCTGGTCACGCACTCCCCCCCATGTGCCGTGTCAACCACAGGTGCTCACTAACAGCACTTGTCCTAATAGTCTGTTAAGGATATAGGGATCATTTTATTTGTATGTATATAATATATTGTGTGTGTGCATGCATGTACATGTATTTGTGTGTGCAGGGGTATTTCCCGACGAACGAGCGGGTTCCGTTCCTGAGACACGTCGGGGACTGGCAGTATGTGTATGTATGTACATGTATTTACCTATATGTACATGTACGTACATGTACTTCTTTGTGTGTGTGTGTATGCTCACCGTGTCTTGATGTGCTGGACGCTGCCCAGGCACCTGAACGTTCCGCTCACCATGATGGCCATGCGTGTGCACAGAGATTCACACTCCTCCATGCTGCACACACACACACACGTGTACACACATACACACATTGGTACAATCACATACTCGTATACACATATATACAAAGACACAGATCCCCCTCAATGCAAACATTTCCACAGACCAGCCAGTCCCTCACCCCAGTTGACCAAACACGTTCGTTCACTTATCACGTGAACATTTATAGTGGCCAAACACTTTAAGCGCGTGATGTCGATTATAAGTGTGGACGGAAAAGCCGGGGGACTCGGAGGAAAATCCACGCGACCACCACGGGGGAGAGACAGAGAGACACCGCAAACACCAACATGCAAGCACACTGCTGCTGCTGCCACCCGCGGTACCTGTGAGATGTGAGCACCACCGACCGGCCCGCTTGCACGATGGCCAGAATGCAGTTCCACAGGAAGCGCCGAGCTTTGGGGTCCATGCCCGTCGTCGGTTCATCCTGCACGCGGTCACCAGAACCAGAATCTTTATTTAGACTTCAGGAGGAATCCGATGAGCTATGAAGCTCTTTTCCATAGATGTCCAGTAGGGGGAGGGGCGGGTCGGCAAGTTACAACAGCAAACAATACAAAACATGAATGAGTGCAAAATTAGGGAAAAAGCGCAAAGCAAGTCACTAAATCTAAAAGCATAATACATTCATTAATTATCAAGCCTGGACAAAGCAGAAAAACAACCCCAGACCACGCCAAGATAACATACAGGTCCTCAATGAAATGGCATATTAATATTGAACTATCGATACACAGGTAAGGACAACAGTTACCAGACGTTCATAATGGTCGAGCTAGGCTCATAATGGCTGGAGCAGGTTCACAATGGCCACCTAAGGATCACACACTGATCCTTCACATTGGCCTCTGCTGACTTTCTGGGTTTGAGCCCTCAGTCTTGGCATCCATCCCAGGAGTATATCGAATTCAAAATGGCCATGTTGGGTTTGTGATGGCCGTGTTACGTCCGCGATGGCTGTCTTGGTTTCATGACTGGCCGTGTTGGGTTCATTCTAACCGTGTTTTACATTCGTTAAAGCTGGGTCTGGTTAATACTGCTGTTCGGTTCACAATAGCCATATTCGGTTTACAGTACAGTGGCCAAACCAGGTTTGTAATGACCATATCAAGCACTGAGCCAGCCAGCACCGCTGAGACCCTGAGTTCGAATCCTGATCCGAATCCTCGCACCCGCTGTGTCTCTCTCTCCCTGCATCCGCCTCTCTCGCTAGGTTCATAATGGCTGGTACCAGGAAGACGAGGGGAGGGTTGCCGATGAGAGCGATGGCGGTGGAGAGCTTGCGCTTGTTGCCTCCGCTGTATGAGCCGGCGGAACGATCGGCGATGTAGATGAGGCCCAGCGTGGACACCGCCCATTCAACCACCTACAGCGCGCTCACAACAAATACAAATATCCCTCGTTTGTGTGGCCTTCACAGACTGTTGGGGCAAGTGCTGTTAGCGAGCAGCACCTATGAAGGCTGGCACGGTACACGAGGGGGTGGGTGGCCAGCACCATGCCCGACCGCCTTTGTCTCTCCAGTGGCGCTGATTACACACTCCACCAGGTACTCATCTGAGGATGAGTCGACCTTTGGGAGGAGGCCCAGAACCAGTTCAAATTATTGCCACACAACACTCAGTCAACCACCTCTAGCGCCACACAACAACCTGTGGTGGTGGTGGCAGTGGTGGCGTTGGCGGTGATGATGGTTTTATTCATGTTACTTTTGCTACTGCTGCTGCTGATGATGATGATTATAGTTCTGTTGTTGACAGTGATCATGATGGTGATGATGTTGATGATGAGCGTAAGGATGATGGCGATGATGAGTGTTAGGACGATGACGGTAAGGACAATGGTGGCAGCGTGCTCACCCTCTCGAGGTCCTCCTCCCTCACCCCGCGCAAGCGAGCGTAAAGCTGGAGGTGCTCCCGGCCCGTGAGCAGCTCATCGGTCCCGTCGAACTGGGGGCAGTAGCCCAGGCGGCTCTGAACCGAACTCAGCTGAGACAGAATGCTGCACCAAAGACAAAGACCCCCCCCCCGTATTGCTTTTAACGGACTGTTGGGGCGAGTGCTGTTAGCGAGCACCTATGAAGGCCGCCATGGCGCACGAGGTGGGTGTGTTAGCCAACACTGGACCGGCCGCCTGTATCTCTTCAGTGTGGATGTTTACACACTGCACCAGGTACTCATTTAAAGTTGAGTGGAACCCGGGGAGGCCCAGGACCGGTTCAGATGGTGTTGGCAATGAGCGGGATTCGAACTCGGGTCACTGGGTCCGTAGCGGGGCACGCTAACTGCTGCGCCACCGCTCCCCATTCATATATTCATACATACACGCATACATGCATTAAACATGGACACATGCATTCACCCACAAATACATATATGTACACACACAATCCCATATACACTCAGATGCAGCAAACCAGATGTATTTAAATCATGTGATTGAGGTCATCCTATAGGAGGCTCAGTTCCGGTTGAGATAATCACCGGTGTTGGCCGTGAGCGGGAATCGAACTCGGGTTGCCGGCTTCGTAGCGCAGTGCGCAAACCACGGCGCCGCTGCCCCCATTCACGCACACATGCGCACCTCGAACTGTTCCGCCTCTAGGTGGGCTCAGACTGAACTAACCTGTAGCCCTCGAGGCGTGCGTCCCCGGCCGTCGCGTGCGTGTCGCCTGTCAGCATGCGGAACGCGCTCGTCTTGCCGGCACCATTCACGCCCAGCAGACCAAAGCACTGGGAAGCCCAACAATCGCAATCCCGTTATCTGCCAACCCCATTATCCGCAAATCGGAAACTCGTAATCCACGAACCCAATTATGCGCAAATTGCAAAACCATTATCCACGTAGCTGATTATTCGCGAATCGCAAACCCATTATCAGAAAACCGTGTTGTCTGTAAATTACGAACCCATTATTCACAAATCCAATTATCCGCAAATCGGAAACTCATTAATTGCACAGATTATCTGCAAATATAATGATTTGCAATCTGAATATGATTTTATGCGAATATTATTGTCGCCAAATCGTGTGTAATTCTAATTTTCTGAAAATTCCTTTCTTATAATTACAGTCATCTGCATATCCCATTATTCACAAATACAATAATCTACAATCCAATAATGAGCAAACCAATGAACCACAGCTCTCATTGTGAGGTATATGTAAGTGGGTGTGAGTAAAAATGAGTGTGTGTACGGGACGGTGTGTATGTATGAAATAGTCGGTGTATAACGGTATGTGTAGGGGTATGTGTATAAGTTTGTAGGGTGTATGTGTAGAGTGAGTGTGTAAGTGTGTAGGGTGTGTGTGTAGGGTGAGAGTGTAAGTGTGAAGGGTGTGTGTGAAGGGGGTGTGTGTAGGGTGTGCGTAAGTGTGTAGGGTGTGTGTGTAGGGTGAGTGTGTGAGTGTGAAGGGTGTGTGTGAAGGGGGTGTGTAAAGGGGGTGTGTGTAGGGTGTGTGTAAGTGTGTAGGGTGTGTGTGTAGGGTGAGTGTGTGAGTGTGAAGGATGTGTGTGTAGGGTGTGTGTGAAGGGGGTGTGTGAAGGGGGTGTGTGTAGCGTGTGTGTGTGTGTGTAGGGTGAGTGTGTGAGTGTGAAGGGTGTGTGTGTAAGTGTGTAGGGTGAGTGGGTGAATGGTGTGTGTGTAGGGTGTGTGTGTGAGTGTGAAGGGTGTGTGTGAAGGGGGTGTGTGAAGGGGGTGTGTGTAGGGTGTGTGTGTGTGTGTGTGTAAGTGTGTAGGGTGAGTGGGTGAATGGTGTGTGTGTAAGTTCACCTCCCCTGGTCGCACCCCAACGCACATCCTGTCCACAGCCGGAGCACCTTTCTTCTTGTAAACCTAAAACAGAATCAACATCAACACTGTGGTGGTGGTAGTGGTGATGGTGATGCTGCTGTCTGATGGTGGTGGTGATGTGCATTGAACTGCCCATATAGGACTCACCACTGTGATCTCTACATTGGGTCAAACTTAACATCTCTTAATGTTCGATGGCTTGTGCACCAGATCTTATTTATTCACGATGTACTTACAAAAAATTCCGCAGACTACCTAATGGATCTCCTCTCTGTTTCAAAGAACAAATTTGACCTTAGGTCTTCGCTCATTTACCAGCTTCACATTCCCTATTGCCGTACAAAAACTGGAGGAAGGGCCTTTGCTATTGATGCCCCCAGGGTCTGGAATGCTATTGCCAATAAACTGCAACTTGAATCACTACCTATGAGATCTTCACTCAAAACTGCTCTAGAGGAGTTGTACAACCCTAGCTGCCACTGCTATTCAGTGGCTTAAAATATGGCTCTAGATTTTGGTGTTATAATTTATTTATGTAGTTTATTGTTAAAAATTCGGTCACAGTTCCTATGATCACTGTTATATTGCATTCATGGCTTTTATTTTTGGTGATTTCGAAAATGTTTTTTTTGTTTTGGCCATGTTTTTGTTTATTGTAGTACGGAGTTAGACTGATGGCCTTAATCTTAGTTGTCTTGTGGTTGTTGTTATTTGACTTGCATCCCACTGGGATTTTTGCACACAGCGTTGGTGTACGGTGCTATTTCAGGAATATTTTGATATTTTTTTCCTGGATTTTCTGTTTGCACAGTCACATAATCACTTTAAGATGTTTTCTTGTTCATGTTTTTTGTTTGTTGCGGTTGCACCCGATTCAAGAGCCGAATGGCTCACAGGGCTATACCAAATAAATGAACTAACTAACTAACTAAATGTCACCTTTGTGAGTTCGTTGATGGTGAGGATGTCTGTTGATGTGTCTCCCTCCATCACACGTTTCCTCTCCGCAGCAACATCAACATCCTCGTCCGTGATGGGAGGCAGATTCAGCTTCATCGACCTGAATAACATCACAGTCATCAACATCACCATTATCAACATCAACAACATCACTGATACTAACGACATACTATCATTGCAGTCACCACGATCAACAACATCACATCCATCAATACCAGCACCACCATCATCATGATCATTACTACCACTACCATTACCGCCATCAACAAGATGATCGCTCACCATCATCACCACTACCATTATTTCCACCGGGACACTTCCTGTATGTAACATATTGTGATAGCCCCCACAAAGGTGCATCCTCTTATTCAATGCCACCTCCTTTATTTAACCATCGACGACTAAGCGAGTTATCAGAGTATGGGGTGAGGGGCAGGGAGGGGGGGTGAACAGATGGGGGATGGGGCGTGTACCGGGCAACCCCTAAGAGCGCTCAGCCATAACACGGCGGCTGTGTTACCGTGGGCGGATAAAGAAGTTCTTCTGGATGAGCAGCGTGAGGACGATGAAGACGCTGCCCTCAATGAACATCGCGAACAGATTCTTGCCGACCATGTCCCATGACAGCGGCTCCTTGAAGCGGTTCTCACCTGTGTGGAGACACGGGGAGAAAATGTGGGACATGGGGAGACACGCGGAGAGGGGTGAGACACGTGACAACACGCAGAGACATGGGGAGACAGAGATGGGAGAGAAGCAAGGGGACATAGGGAGAGATAGAGACACGGGGAGACACGGGGAGACGACGAGATGTGGGGAGAAACAGGAGAGATGGGAGATGTGGGGAGATACAGAGATTAGGGTAGACATGAAGGAGACCCAGTGAGATAGGAGAGAAACAGCATGAGACATAATGTGTGTGCATTACATCGGCCTGCAAGTGTGTACATCATTGTATGTCTATGTGCGTATTTCTATGTGTCTTGTATGTATGTCTGTGTGCAGGCTTATGCATATGTCTGTGTGTGTCTGAGCGTGTATTTTTGTATATTTGTGTGTCTGTCTCTGCGTCTCTACCAAAGCGCTCAGACGCGTCTGCCAGTGCCTGGTTGGTCGCCATGTCTATGAGTCCTCGTCCCAGGCAGAAGTGCGGGAAGATGAGGAGCACGGACTTGAGGATGTCATTGACGCGGGTCAGAGTCTGCGGAGACATGGAGAAACACGGACAGACACGGAGGGAGATGTTTAGAAATGCAGAGAGACACAGTGAGCGAGACACGGGGGAGACAAGAGGCAGATGTGAGATGATACAAGGGAGACGTGGAGAGAGACGTGGAGACACGGGCAAAATATTGGGGAGCGACGAGAGATGTAGGGGGAATGCCAATGTGACACGGAAAGTGGGAGACGTGCGTACCTGCTGGGGAGACACAGGAGGCACGGAGAAACGCGCGAAAAGACACGGTGAGACGGTGAGACAGCGAGGCACATGGAGAAACAAGTTGGGACATAAGGGAGACACTGGGAGATGGTCAAATCAAAATTGATTTATCCTCAGAGTTGAAATTTAACCAAATCAAACACAAAACAAATATGATAAGATGGTTACCGTGTGGGTAATCTCGCTAGACTCGAGCACCTAGTTTTATTCACAGATGGGCTGCAGTTCAAACCCAACCTGGTACCAGCTCAGCTCTCCGACCTCTGAACCTCCCTTCCACTACGGCAATATAATCTTAGACGTCCACCGCCCCCATCGGCATTTATATTCAGCACCAGTCTCGTCTCAGAGGTGTTAGGTCAGCGCCTCCGAGCCACCCAACCTCCTCTGGCAGGAAAGTTGAAGGGGTCTGTGTGAGGAGGGGAGCGAGACAACGGCGACGATGACGCCGTATCGGAGAGGAGGAAGTCGGCTAGTCCCCCACTCACCTCGTCGCCCTTGAAGAGCTCCAGGATGAATGTGGCCATGCTGCCGTTGATGCCGATGAACAAGTTGACGCACGTCAGCACCACGTACGCCGTGCTGGGCACCGTGAACACGAAGGAGGCCGGGTACATGAGCGGCGTGATCGACCACCTGAGAACACACCTCTGATTAGCACGTTTAGCTACGTGCGGTGCGAAAAGCAGGTACATATAGTATCAGCAGCAGTTGCTCCTACGTCCAGTAGTCGCACACGTGTGACAGTACGGGAGTCGGGCCTGTGACGGGTGCAGTGGTTCATGGATTATACTCAAGAAAAATCGATTGTATTCTTATGCCTCAAACCACTCATCTACACCATTGTTTTCTTTTAATTCTTACTCAGAAAACGTCTTTCTCTGAGGGTCCTCCTGCCTTGGTTGGGTCTTTAACAAAGACGGTCGCCGCTCGTGTGTTTTCCCGATGTGCTTCTGCCGCCGTCTGGAACGCTCTTCCATCCCGCATTAGGAAGCCACTGGAGCTATGCACTTTTAAATCCTTCCCACCGCACCTCCGATTAGCACGATTGGCTACGTACGTAATGAAATAAGTTCAACGTGCATACGTACGTCTGCACTCACCCGACAATAGCACACGCATGACGGTGCGGGAGTCGGGCGTGCGACGGCAATAGTGGTTCGTCAAGCCGAGAAGCATTGGATCAGCATTCTCGTTGTGCTCCCTTGTCAGTGCCCAGTATTTATTTAATTATCGATCGTTCTCGCGTATTTGGTGCTCTCACTGTGAAAGTCGCGCGTAAAAGCATTGGCTAAATAAATAAGCAGAATCGGAATATGTGTTTACACTGGGGGAATCGATGAGCTAGATGTCCTGTCGGGGCGGGTCAGAATGTTACAACAAATAATAAAAACACGCTAAAAGTGCAAAGTATAGGAAAGGTAGGCAAATCACAAAAAATACAAATAAAATTAAACAATATTTATTTTACCAGGTAAAACCTCACTGGGCTATTAGCTTCTTTTTCAGAAGCGACCTGGCCACAAATGATAGCTCAACGAAATGGGTTATCATGTGTACATTTATCGTAGCCAAATAATACAAACGCACGTTTCCTTTTCCTCTGATTTCCCGTTACTTATTTTCTCTTTTCACCTTTCCCGTTCTTTTCTCTTTTTCCATGCATTAGAGCCTGGACTCAACTCCCCTTCCCGTGGTGTTGCCACGGGTAAAGAGTTGCTCGTCGGTCATAGCACAAAGTTCTGTTGCTATTAGGGTCTTACCCGAGAGAGAGAGCTGGCCAAATTGATCAAAGGGTTGCCCACAACTTGGCGACGAAAACCAGCTAAGGCGATGACATCACGCACAGTGTGACATCATCTCATTGTGTGGCTTGGAACGCAATGTTATTCCCGCTAATTAGATACTTGAGGACAAACGCACGCTGGAAAGCGTTACGGAATCCCCTGTACATTGAGCAGTCCACCTACTTAACCTCCTTTTGTTCCTCTCTCAAAGGCTCACCTATTCTCCACTACCCATTCCCTTCCTCTTCCCTCCTCTCACCCCTCCACTCCTTCCCATCCCTCCCCTGCCCTTTCGTAACCCCTATGCGCCCTCTGTTACGATCACTCATCCCTCAGCCCTTGCCATCTAAATCACTCTAGTTTATTGCCGCTGCTTAAACTATGTTAAGCGCCTCGAGCTAAGGTGCTCTATAAATATAAAACAAGGTGAGATAAGCCATGCATGAGGGTGATATTTCTCCCTTGTTCGTCACGAGGGAAGCTTCAGGCTTGTGTGGTATCAAACTATAAACTAAACAAGTTTTGTATTTTACCAGGTAAGGCCCACTGAGCTATACAGCATATATATTCTTGGTTCTTTCGGTAAAGTCAAGAAAGAACCAAGAATATGAATCCCTGCAGTCACGAAACCTTTCAATCAAAAACTATACAGTATAGTTCTTTATCAGGAGCTACCTGGCCACAAATGATAGCTCAACAAAGAGACTCATCATGTGCAAATTTATAGCAGCCAAATACCAGAGGACCCGGAGAAAATTCCACGCATCCGCAGGAAGAGAGAGACACATAAACTTCAAATATACAGCAGGCGTCAGGGTCGGGATCAAACCCAGGACTTACTGCATACCAGGCGAGGGAGATAACATCTCGCCGCCATGGCGTCCCCATCGTCTAAGGCACACATCTGTGGGGTGTAGCTACGAGGGAAGAGTTACCCATAGAGCAGCAGCAGGAGGATGAGGGCCGGCAAGTTGCGATCGGAAACGTAGGCCTTCTGCTGGAAGGACAGGAAAATGACCACCACGATGATCGCCGGCAGAATGTAGTTGCACTGCGAAGTGAGGTGGGGCGGGGGGGGGGCGGAGGGGGGCATCGAGAATCAAAATGCAATTAAAACAACACTGTCAAACCGGTCCATTACGACAGCCTCTGCTCTGTTAGGGCAAAGGTAGTGTGATTTCATATACACTACATCAGAGGGAAGCCTGGTGAGATTCAATGGGAATTAATTACTGATGAGGTGCGTGTGCGTTCGCGGATAATAGCCCCTCACTTGGTCATACCCATTTGTTCTTTGTATTTTTTATTGGGATCGAGTGCCAGGCTTTTGCAAATGTTAAGAGCGGATAAGCACCGCCAGGGACAATAAGCCATTACTGTATTATTACACTTCAGGATGGTAAGAAATGGTGAGACGTGGTGGGGGCTTGGGGAGGCCTTTATCCAGTCGTGGACTTACCGTCGCTGACCATGATCACTCTTACTGCTCAGTGTTAATGTCTAAGACTTAGAGAGCCAGCCGTGGCACTTTTAGTATTCTTAGAATTCAGTGTTGATGCCCGAGACTCACACAGCCAAAGGCAATGTTAACATTTCAGTGTCAGTATTCAGTCGCAGTGTAGGGTGCAGAGTCTCAGTCTGGAGTCCCAGTGAAGGGTGCAGAGTGTCCCCTCGCGAATGCTCACCATGTCCCAGGTAATGTTGGCGAGCCAGTAAACGTAGGCGTTGACACCGCTCACGAACTGCAGGTGCTTGGCGTTGGACGCCCGCTCCTGGACGAGGAACACCGCAAAACTCGCCGGGATGAGGGACATGGAGAAGATGACGCAGATGGAAACCATCACGTCCACCGACGACATCAGCCTGGGCACGTGGGAGTGAGACGCAAGGTGTGGGGAAGTGAAGGGAGACCACGTGGGGATGTGAAGGAAGACACGGGAAGGTGATGGGAGAGACACAGGGAAGATGGTGAGAACAGGGATATTTTTTTTATTCTTTCACGATCACATTCAAATCTATCGATGTAATCAAACATTTTTGGTTTGCGACGCCGGGAGAGGCGACTCACATGGCGACCTCGGTGAGCTGCTGCTTGGTGAGGTTTAGCGGGTGGTTGTAGGCCGTGATGCCGAACCGACGCGGGTCTTTACCCTCGGGCAGCCGCGCTCGCAGCACCGCGTTGCTCGCGACGTTGATGAAGGCGACGATGGCATGCCAGCCCTTGTTGTTGAACCAAACCTGCACGCGGAGGACAGAGGCGAAACCGTAAATCATTTCCCGACGTTTGTTGTTCATGGAATAATTTTTCACGTAGAATGTAGCAATCGTCAAAGGCGATTTTTTTTTATTGCTTTTATTGTATTTCAACACGAGCCTGCGAATAGAGCACAAATCACGACGTGGGGAGAGGGGGGGGGCACAGAAATTCCACAGACAGAAGTCCCAAACTCTGTGCTCTTGGGTTTAGAGGAGGGGTGGAGAAATTGGGCTCACTGCCCCACCCCGGTGGGGACGATGAGCGGGAGCATTGAGAGTGGGGGGTTGGTGGGGATAGAAGATAAGGAAGAACTAAAGTGAGGGGGTAGAGGGGATGGGGTGAAGGAGAGGGGGTGTATGTTGAACTTCTTTCGCACCATACGTAGGCAACCGTGCCAATCGGAGGTGTGGTAGACGTACATTATTACACAGTACAGTAATAATGCACATTAATTACTGTAATTTTTATTTTCGCGGGAAACGGTAATAATTACATTATTACTCTGTATTACAATTACATTTTTGCTTTGTTCATGGAATTATTTTCATATAAAGTGTCGTAATAATAAAAAGTTATGAACCGACGTACATTACTTAACTGTAATAATGCATGTACTGTAATTATGGCTGTGTGGGCCTTACCTGATAAAATAAAAAAAAAGTTTAGTTTTTAGTTTAGTATTAGTTACATTATTACTGTGTATTATTTCACAGTAATAGTACAGGGTTTTCAGTATTTGGCTGAGGTACTTTGATAAGAGTACCAGGTTGTTCCTTGTCAAGAGTTTTCATCCAAAACCAGCGGCCTGTCGGTCATCTGATATACTTATATTTGACTCATACTGCTGCAAAACAATGCAGAATGTATATAATATGTTCATAGTTGTGATCCTCATCTCACCTTAACGTTGTCTGTGGGCCCAAGGGCCTGGATGAAGCCCTCTAGGTTAAGTGAGGCTTCCTCTATTGCTGGGCCCTGAAAAGGTTACAAATGTGACACGATCATCATCATCATTATCAATGTCTTTGAATCATTATGATAATCTTCACGTTAATTATGATTGTCTTTGAATCGTCATCATTAGCAGCAGAATAATCTCAGAATCATCATTACTATCATCATCATCACCATCACGAAGATCAACATCATTACGATTGTCAATATCAGAATATTTCATTTATCATCATAATATTGCAGCTTAGTTTATGTAAAAAGTATTGAGCTTAACCCAACGAGTAACCTACCTACTAGATTTACTTGTAACAAACAGTCCTAACTCACACATGAACCACTAACTGTAGCCATAATCCTTACCCTTAATCCTTGATACGAGCCCAGCCTTTACCTATCTCTCCCCTGTGTGGATTGGTGTCAAATCAATGGTTATTATCAGTGTTATAGTTTAGGTATTGGCTTGGGAATGGGTTATGTTCATGAATGTTAGAATGTGAGATATCGGGAGTGTCCGGGTTAGTGTTATATGTTCGTTGAACTTCTTTCGCGCCGTTCGTAGCCAACCATGCTAATCGGAGTTGCGGGGAAAGTACAACAAGTGTTGGGTTTATAATAATAAGTGTTAAGTATCAGGGCTACAGGAGCGTTGAGGCTAGTGCTAGGATTAGTGTCAGGGCTCGTGGTCATGCTTGGTTAGTGTCAGGGCCAGCATTAGTGTTCGAGTGTTGTGTCGTACGTGTGACAGCGTGTGTGTTAGTGTGACAGTGTGAGTTCTACCATGAGAGTGAGTGTCAGCGTGTGTGTTAGTGTGACAGTGTTAGTTCTACCATGAGAGTCAGCGTGTGTGTTAGTGTGACAGTGTTAGTTGTACCATGAGTGTCAGCGTGTGTGTTAGTGTGACAGTGTTAGTTGTACCATGAGTGTCAGCGTGTGTGTTAGTGTGACAGTGATAGTTGTACCATGAGTGTGAGTGTCAGCGTGTGTGTTAGTGTGACAGTGTTAGTTCTACCATGAGAGTGAGTGTCAGCGTGCATGTTAGTGTGGCAGTGTTAGTTCTACCATGAGAGTGAGTGTCAGCGTGCGTGTTAGTGTGGCAGTGTTAGTTCTACCATGAGAGTGAGTGTCAGCGTGCGTGTTATTTCCCGGCATCCGTGCCACTCACGGCTGTGATGTTGAGGAACCCCCCTGCCTGCTGGAACAGCCTCCTCAGTGCCGTGGCGTTCACGTCTCTCTGCTCGTTCTTCTGGCCTAGCGAGAAGCCTCCGTACCTTGGGAGGGATACCGACTTGAGTCAGGGCGGTCACATGGATTTCACCGATTACACGGACTCTAGGGTTGGACTCCAGGTCGGGGTCAACTCTACTGCGATGTGTCGCTGGCATCAGCGTCGTCATGGTCATCGTTGCGACCGTTTGTAGCAGCAGCGTCAATGTCAGCATTTGTAGCGGCAGTATCATCAGAAGCTTCATCAGCCTGTAGCATGAGCAGCAGTATCATCATCACCACCATCAACACAACCATCATTATCATGAGCAATCATCAATCACCCATTAATATTATCCTCACGATGATTATAATTATTATCATCATCAAAATTACAATTTCATTCATTACAATTCTTGGGATGATCATCATGACCACCATCATCCATCATTACTATCATCTGCCCACCGCTATCATGATGCAGTTGTCCTACTTAGCCAGACTCACACACTCAGCTCTGTCACCACCTCGGACTCATTGGGGGCGCGCACTATTGCACCTTAGGGCACATTAAATAGGACCGTACCATCCTTTACAGGGAAGAGAGGGTGAAGGTGAGGGGAGCTGGACAGGGCTATACCACTTCTCAAAAGAATACGGGGGGGGGGGGGGGGCAGATCATTCTACTATGGCTTTAAACACTAAAGGTCTTTTGGCATCTTCTGGTCTAACACCGTTTTGAGACTAGGCTCAAAAGAAAGCTGTCTCTGGTGTGGACCAATCAGTTTAAAAGACAATGCATATATTATCAGAGTATGTTTTGTTTGCATTGTGGTTAATGCAGACATGATTCCTTGTAAAAGGTTATAGTTTGGTGTTTTAACATCTTAACACCTGTTTCGTTGCCAGAAGAAAAGAGGGAAAACCTATTCTCACTAAAGGACTGCTATACTACTCCGAGCTCACACCTCGGCTCGTTGACCCAATATTTCCTCGTTAGGCTGAAGCAATGGAATAAAAAAAGGGAAATAAACAAACAACAGATTAGGCATAAAGTTGTAATGTGTAATTAAGCACAAAGGACTGGTGATCCCTAGAGATGGACTCCCCCCCACTGGTGATCCCTAGAGATGGACTCCCCCCTACCAGTGATCCCTAGAGATGGACTCCCCCCTACCAGTGATCCCTAGAGATGGACTCCTCCCTACCAGTGATCCCGAGAGATGGACTGCCCCCCACTGGTGATCTCTAGAGATGGACTGCCCCCCACTGGTGATCCCTAGAGATGGACTGCCCCCCACTGGTGATCCCTAGAGATGGACTGCCCCCCACTGGTGATCCCTAGAGATGGACTCCCCCCACTGGTGATCCCTAGAGATGGACTGCCCCCCACTGGTGATCCCTAGAGATGGACTGCCCCCCAATGGTGATCCCTAGAGATGGACTCCCCCCACTGGTGATCCCTAGAGATGGACTCCCCCCACTGGTGATCCCTAGAGATGGACTCCCCCCCACTGGTGATCCCTAGAGATGGACTGCCCCCACTGGTGATCCCTAGAGATGGACTCCCCCCCACTGGTGATCCCTAGAGATGGACTGCCCCCACTGGTGATCCCTAGAGATGGACTGCCCCCCACTGGTGATCCCTAAAGATGGACTCCCCCCCCACTGGTGATCCCTAGAGATGGACTCCCCCCCACTGGTGATCCCTAGAGATGGACTCCCCCCCACTGGTGATCCCTAGAGATGGACTGCCCCCACTGGTGATCCCTAGAGATGGACTCCCCCCCCACTGGTGATCCCTAGAGATGGACTCCCCCCCACTGGTGATCCCTAGAGATGGACTCCCCCCCACTGGTGATCCCTAGAGATGGACTCCCCCCCACTGGTGATCCCTAGAGATGGACTCCCCCCCACTGGTGATCCCTAGAGATGGACTGCCCCTCAATGGTGATCCCTAGAGATGGACTCCCCCCCACTGGTGATCCCTAGAGATGGACTCCCCCCCACTGGTGATCCCTAGAGATGGACTCCCCCCCACTGGTGATCCCTAGAGATGGACTCCCCCCACTGGTGATCCCTAGAGATGGACTCCCCCCCACTGGTGATCCCTAGAGATGGACTGCTCCCACTGGTGATCCCTAGAGATGGAATCCCCCCACTGGTGATCCCTAGAGATGGACTCCCCCCCACTGGTGATCCCTAGAGATGGACTGCCCCCACTAGTGATCCCTAGAGATGGACTCCCCCCCACTGGTGATCCCTAGAGATGGACTGCCCCCACTGGTGATCCCTAGAGATGGACTGCCCCCACTGGTGATCCCTAGAGATGGACTCCCCCCACTGGTGATCCCTAGAGATGGACTGCCCCCACTGGTGATCCCTAGAGATGGACTGCCCCCCACTGGTGATCCCTAGAGATGGACTCCCCCCCCACTGGTGATCCCTAGTGATGGACTGCCCCCACTGGTGATCCCTAGAGATGGACTCCCCCCCACTGGTGATCCCTAGAGATGGACTGCCCCCACTGGTGATCCCTAGAGATGGACTCCCCCCCACTGGTGATCCCTAGAGATGGACTGCCCCCATTGGTGATCCCTAGAGATGGACTCCCCCCCACTGGTGATCCCTAGAGATGGACTGCCCCCCACTGGTGATCCCTAGAGATGGACTCCCCCCACTGGTGATCCCTAGAGATGGACTGCCCCCCACTGGTGATCCCTAGAGATGGACTCCCCCCCACTGGTGATCCCTAGAGATGGACTGCCCCCCACTGGTGATCCCTAGAGATGGACTGCCCCCCACTGGTGATCCCTAGAGATGGACTGCCCCCACTGGTGATCCCTAGAGATGGACTGCCCCCACTGGTGATCCCTAGAGATGGACTCCCCCCACTGGTGATCCCTAGAGATGGACTGCCCCCACTGGTGATCCCTAGAGATGGACTGCCCCCACTGGTGATCCCTAGAGATGGACTGCCCCCACTGGTGATCCCTAGAGATGGACTCACCCCCACTGGTGATCCCTAAAGATGGACTGCCCCCCCACTGGTGATCCCTAGTGATGGACTCCCCCCCCCCACTGGTGATCCCTAGAGATGGACTCCCCCCCACTGGTGATCCCTAGAGATGGACTGCCCCCCACTGAGTGATCCCTAGAGATGGACTGCCCGCCATAGAAATGTGGAAGTTCTACTGTCAGCTCCAGTGGCACCATTGGAGATGACCGTCGCTTCACGTTTCACGTACAAGCGGTGAGACAATTTGCTTTGAAATTTTTGACGTAACTTTGCACCCACAATCGTTTGTAGGCCAATGTACAAGTTTGTTATTGAAGCTAATGGTGAATTGTATGAATACCCTTTTACAATGCTTTTGTAGTGACATCACGGGATGTCACTGTGCAGTGCCGGCCCTAGAGGGGCACGGCGTGCGGGTTAACAACATCACAGACACCACTATGATGTGGGTGTAGTACTGGCCCTAGAGAATCACAGCGTGCGATGTAACGACATCGTGGACACCACTATGGTGTGGGTGTAGTACCGGCTTTAGAGAGTCACGGCGTGCGATGTAACGACATCACAGATACCACTATGGTGTGGGTGTAGTACCGGCCCTAGAGAATCACAGCGTGCGATGTAACGACATCACAGATACCACTATGATGTGGGTGTAGTACCGGCCCTAGAGAATCACAGCGTGCGATGTAACGACATCACGGACACCACTATGGTGTGGGTGTAGTGCCGGCCCTAGAGAGTCACGGCGTGCGATGTAACGACATCACAGACACCACTATGATGTGGTTGTAGTACCGGCCCCAGAGAGTCACGGCGTGCGATGTAACGACATCACAGACACCACTATGATGTGGGTGTAGTACCGGCCCTAGAGAATCACAGCGTGCGATGTAACGACATCACGGACACCACTATGGTGTGGGTGTAGTGCCGGCCCTAGAGAGTCACGGCGTGTGATGTAACGACATCACAGACACCACTATGATGTGGTTGTAGTACCGGCCCCAGAGAGTCACGGCGTGCGATGTAACGACATCACAGACACCACTATGATGTGGGTGTAGTACTGACCCTAGAGAGTCACGGCGTGCGATGTAACGACATCACGGGCACCACTATGATGTGGGTGTAGTACCGGCCCTAGAGGGGCACGGCGTGCGATGTAACGACATCACGGACACCACTATGGTGTGGGTGTAGTACCGGCCCTAGAGAGACACGGTGTGCGATGTAACGACATCACAGACACCACTATGGTGTGGGTGTAGTACCGGCCCTAGAGGGGCTCGGTCAGCACTGATTGATAGCACTGGATGGCACCACGCTTGGTGTGCAGTGCCAACACTACAGGATAGGGTGTGGAAGTGCCGATCGTAGGAAAGGGGTTACTGAGGGCCACGCACTCTGGTTGACCCGAGAGGACATGTGACCAGTTAAGTCTACAAAGGGCCCCCAAGTGGGGGCTAGGGGTGGTCACGTGGTCGAGGTCCAGATCCTGCTCGAGGATTCTGGAAGGTGGTCGTGGCCAAGGGCGGAGCCGGCCACGCCCAGAGGATATAAGCCGGGTCCCCCAGAGGGACCGGCGTTGTTGTTCATCCTGAAGAAACCTTCGTCTACGTTCTACGTTCTCCGAGTCTCCAACACGTGGACCTGGACCCGAGCTGTGGTCCCGGTCCGTAGTAGCAGTTACGTTGTAATTAGTGTAGTTAGCCTGGTGGTCACCACCTGGTTAACTACACCAGTTATGTTGTAATTAGTGTAGTTAGCCTGGTGGTCACCACCCGGTTAACTACACCAGTTACATTGTAATTAGTGTAGTTAGCCTGGTGGTCACCACCATAGGTTGTTATTCTGTTAAGGGGCAGTTACCCCGTGTGTTGGTGTTAAATAAATGTGTTGCCTCCAAGTATACGTCTGCGACTCAGTTGAACCCACTACACTTTTGTTGGCCCTGTGTGGGTTTTTTTTTTACAATGGATTACAAAGCCACCTCTATAAAACAATATTTGTTGGCTTTTATACCTTTTTGCCAATTATGTCACTTCATTTGGAAATTCTTTTCTTATACTTCGCTGAGCCTTCAAGATCCCTTTTGAGTCCTCGTCACATGTTTTGCCAACAAGCTAAATTATTGTCGAGAAATTTTTGTTTTGAGTCTTTACATATTTTTGTAATTGATCCTGAATCAGAATCATGATTCAAGCAAGCAAGCAAGCCTTACTCTGCTGATGTATAAACTAAAAGACTGCTACAGTTTACTTTCTTTTTGATAAGCATTAAACAAAGACGGTCACTGCATCGCGTGCTGTCAGATGTGCTTCTCAGGCTGTCTAGAATGCTCTTCCTTCCGATATTATGAAGCCACACTTTTAAATCTAAATTGAAAACGAATTTCTTTAGAACTGCTTTTTATGTTTACATTTTTGTCCTTCCCGTGCACCTCCGATTAGCACGGTTGACTATGTATAGTGTGAAAAAAGTTGAACAACATGCATACATAAAATCTTTGCTCGTATTGAAACAACGCTGCTGAGATTATGCACTCCCAGAAGGCCGTGTAGATGATTGGTGGTGTAAGAAATACTTTTATTATTCATGCAGAGAGACGAATAGATGAAGGAGACATATTGTCCTCTCACTTATATTGTTATTTATATTCTTCATATAAATGCAAATTATTATTTTCCGCATGAGGACGTATGCTTTGTGAGTGCCAAACCTCTTCTCTATGAAGTCAGCGTAGGACTTTACGAGATAGTCACTAATATTTCTCCCGGTCAGGTTCTGAAGGGTGTCCGTGGTGCTTTGCAGCATCTGAGAGGGAGGGGAAACGGTGAAAGAGACCACAACCGCGGGTATCATGCTCCCTGTCGCGCACCGACTCTTGTTGAGCAAGACGCCGCGGCACCCATGGTGCACTGCACCTCGTGACCTCGCTGAAGCGCTGTCTCCAACTTTATTTAATTTTCTACCTACGTGACTTTACCGAAAGAACCAAAGAGTATGGATCCCTGCAGTCACGAAAACTTCAAATCTAGATTGTCTCCCACAATGCACCGCGTTTGGTTATTGAGTTGCATTCAAAGATATGGTGTTCATACTCTGTGGTCTTTTGGAATGAGACGAAAAAAAACAAATACAGAACCTACGAAAGAGATAATACAAACGGGACGGAACAAGACAGTACGGATAGACAATACAGATGAGACAAAACAGAATAGATTCTTTAACCTAATCGTGTCTCTGTATTCTGAGAAAGCAATTAATCATGACATAGGAAGGAGGGGTGACTCGTGACATGCCTCTCTGTTTAGACACGGGTAGGACGAGGTTCAATTATGAGGACAATCATCTGAAAACTGGAGGCAAATATTGAGAAGGGAGTTCAATAGAGGCCTTCATTAAGAGAGCGGTAGTTTAGCTGAAGACTCGGCTAAACCTCGTCTTGCCTGTGGGGGTGGTAGTCCTCCGGCTCCTGGCGGGCAATCAGGCAGCATGGTGAGCCGCTCCGGAGTGCTGCACCGGCAGCTCGGGGAGGGGTCCTCGAATGTCCAGTTGCCCTCATTTAGGGCATCTACGGCAGCTTGAGATGCCTGAGGAGTCTCCCACACGGGCATCCGAGGTTGGCATGGAAGGTTCCTGTAAAATATCAGATTTTAATTTGTGGAATAAAATTAAAAATGACGTGCCACACAAACGCACGGATAATGTTTCCAACAACAGCTTGGCTAATTGATATCACCAGCCCTCAATGCCTTCAGGATTGTGAATATATTTGTCATAAGCACTGCCTGATGACAAAGAATGTGGATCAGAGTGTGTAAGTACATTAAGAGGCATGGAGACGTGCATATTTGGAATTACACTGATAGAAACACATACATTAGAAAACATACGTAGATGTGAGATGTAATTTTGACCATTAATCACAGGTGTCTGACACCCAGATTCGAACAGAGGATCTCGGCGGTGTTCACTCGGTGCCTCTGACATGACCACTATGAACCCCTCAGCCACGTGACTGCAGGTGTGCCGGGGCGATGGGTACTCACGGAATGCTGTATCCTATCATGCACCGCGTGCCGAGCCCGGGTGGGTCTAGGATCGCGGCGACAAGCTTCTGCGTTGTCAGGTCGTTGGGGGCATCATCGCTGCAAATATATGGGAAAAGTTTACCAAGTCGTTAAACAAAACACAAAAACAATCATCAACAATGTGGAATCTTTTTTCATGAGAGCCTCGGTGAATCTCAAGATGGTCAGTCAGGGGGGTCCTCCTGCCCTGGTTGGGTCTTTAACAAAGATGGTCACCGCATCATGCGCTTTCAGATGCGCGATGCGGCCTTCTGGAACGCTCTTTCTTCCGATATTAGGAAGCCACTGGAGCTAAGCACTTTTAAATGATCACCTAGATTGAAAACTCATTTCTGTAGAACTACTTTTTGTGTTTAGTTTGTTTTCTTCCCCATACCTCCGATTAGCATAGTTGGCTATGTACGGTGCAAAAGAAGTTCAACATGTAAATACATTTTTCAGAAGTACAGTAATACCCCGATTAACGTCCCCCCCTTTAACCGCTTCATACCACTACCTGATTTGCATCGTCTCAACCCCCTCGTCGCTGACAGCATCATCCGTCATTCCTCTTGCCTCGGCCTTTGCCTCCACCTACCCACTAAACTACTTTAATTTAAGTCGTTTCGATATTCGTCACACCTTTCAGGAGGAACGCATCCCTGACGTAAACCGGGGTATTACTGTAACTTGCTTAGTGTGGGAGGACATTGGAGTATTCTTATGAAATCCACCCTTTGAGATGTTTGGCCGATTCCTTTTAAAAGGAAGACATCACGAAAATAACATATGGCTCTTCTCTGTATGTATGTATGTTGAACTTTTTTCGCACTGTACGTAGCCAACCGTGCTAATCGGAGGTGTGAAGGACAACAAAAAGAAAGGACAACAAGATAAACACAAAAAGTGGTTCTAAATAAATTAGTTTTCAATTTAGATGTAAAATAAATTTAGATTAGTAGCTATACCACACTGACCAGCATGGCGAAGTTTGGTCAAACAACCCCGACATGATCAATGTGGCCTGGGGGAGGTCTTTATCCAGCAACCGATTGTCAAAAGGCTATAAATTGTGATCATTACTACGATATATATACTATTAATTAGAAACCGGAAAAGGAGGAAGACCTCACAGATGGCTTGACAACATCAGAGATTGGTGCCAGAAAGATGTGACACTGCTTGAGCATATTGGCAGAAGAGGAAAGTCGAAACAAAAATAACGAAATGTACAGTGGACACCTAAGGACCATCCGATGGTGACGATGAAGACAATTCATTAATGTGAATGTCCACGCGTGTGCGGGCACGCGCGCGGATGTTGTGGCGTTGGCTTTGGCCGTCGCGCGCTCGCCAACCTGTAGAAGGTGAACTGCTCCGGGTACATCCAGGGCTGCAGCTCGAGCTCCGGGTAATCGGCGAACGGAGGAACGATCATTGTAAAGACGAGAGCCAGACACACGAAGACGGCGGGAAGGATGATCTGCACGCAGCATGGTCATCATCATCATCGTCGTTAAAGGCAGCAATCTCGATTATCGGAATTCGAAGTTTATTGACCAACTGAGTAAAGCCCATTGAGCTAAAAGGATAACTTGGTCGGCAGAGCATTCCACCACTGTCATCATCATTGTCGCCATCGACAAAAGAGTAGCCGGTCTTATTTTTGGGCTAACAATATCATGATATATTATTAGCGACATCATCATCACTAGCATGTGTATCAGCAGCAGTAAAGTTAGTGAAATCGTTCATAATGATAATTTCATTTTATATAACGTCATTCATGCAAACTGCATCCCACAATGCTGTATAATAATTATATCCATAGTGTAATCACATTCAGGGCTATTTCAATTATCATTGTTGGAATCATCATCAGCAGCATCATCATTAGAAGAAGCAGCAGTATCATCTTTGTTAAAGGCAGCAGCGGTTATAGCACAATCGACAATATCATTATCATCATCATCACCACCAACAACACGTAATCCAGATGTTTTTAAGGTAATTATATGATTATTACTAACATAATTGGCAGCTGTATCAACAGCAGCAAAGTCAGTGATATCATTATGAGTATCATCATCTTCATCACCCTATCATCAACTGTACCACCATCATCAGAAGAATCAACATCAATATCACCATCATCACCACCACCACCACCAAAAATCGCAATGTCATCACCAGCACCATCATGACCATCTTTACCACGAACAGAACCACCACCACAATCGCCACAGTCACCTGTGAGAGGAATCCCTTGCGACTCCGTCTCGTGTGATGGAACCTCTTGATGATGAGCGCTCGGAACTGTTGCCATGCCAGTGGTCCTCCAGTAATCATGTGATCACTGCCGCCTCCTCCCAGGTTCACTGTTTACATCGGGGTCAAGTGTCAAAAGTCAAAGGGTGTGGGTTATAGAAGTCAAAAAGGGATAAGGTACAACAATACAATCACAAGAGTTTTGACCGTGATCCTGGGAGACTGGGTTTGAGGAACCGATCCTGAAACCCGGTCTCCCTGAGTCTCCATCAAGTATCTCCTCCTGAAACCCAGTCTCAATGAGTCTCAACCAAGAATACGATACTGAAACCAAGTCTCCCTCAGTCTCAGACTCCAATCCTGAAACCTGGCCTCACTGAGTCTCAATCAAGACTCCGATCATGACACCCGGTCTCCCTGAGTCTCGAGACTCCAATCCTGAAACCCGGTCTCCTTGAGTCTCAGACTCTAATCCTGAATACTGGTCTCCCTGAGTCTCAGTATCCAATCATGAAACCAGGTCTCAATGAGTCTCAATCGAGACTCCTATACTGAAATCTGACCAGAGTCTCGAGTGTCTGTAGAGTTCATGGCCGTTGAGACGAAAAGTCTCACGTTTTTTTTGCCGTTTCGCTTTCTTCTCCTCCAGTCTCCTCTCTTGACGTGAGCCACAAATGACACAAGTGCAAAAACAATCAGTGCAAGAGGCAAATCTTCAACATCAATAGCAGCTGTAGCAATGGTCAAGACAGCAAGGTCGGTTACTGTAGCATTAGTTGTAGCAGCAGGAAGGTCAATTATATTATTTAGAAGCATCATCAACAGCATTCGCTGCAGCAGAAGGATCATCATCATCAATGTTGTAGAGATATAATAATTCTTACCATCATCAGTAGTAACATGTAGCATCATCTTCAGTAGCATCATTGTTATCGTAATCAGTGTTAGCATCATCAGCAGAGCATTGGCAGCATTAACATCATCATCATTACTGCCATCATTATCAAAAGCAGTGGCGAGTTCGACGCTTGTTGCAGAGGTTCACGGTTTGAATTCAGCGGCAGTTAAGATTATTACTGTGGCAATAACCATAAAAATGTGCGCCGTCTGATTCACAGTGGACCTTTGAGATCCTGTGATGTCATTGCTAAAAGTGGGTCAACTGTGTGCCGGCGTCATGGTCTAATTGTTGGCAAATTAAAAAAATGACCGGCAAATTACCCGATTGGGGATTATACATAGCAATCATCGCCCGCTTCTGTGAAAACTTGGCAGGACCATCGTCGCCGTCGTCGTCATCATCACTCACCCAGCTCAATGTCCATGTCCTCCTTCGTCTTGGACGGCGACAGGATGTTCTTCTCCTTCCACCACCTCCATTTGCCCTTCGTGGAGACACCTTCATCTGGAACGAGGACATGCTCATCCCGAACGGTGTTTTCTCTGACCTGGATTGTTTTACGTCGATCTGACTCTCTCTCTCTCCGCTCCTGTCAATCGATTAATCAATCTCGTTTGACTCACTTGGTGCAACTATCGATCTGCTCTGTGCTCAAGAATCTTTCATCGATGGAATGTTCTGTTTGCCTGTTATTCGCTAAAAACAGATATCCTCCTTCACCAGCAACCCCTCACGGTTCCATTAATTATCACAACTCGGGAGTCTTGACAATTTATTTATTTCTTGTCCCATCTCACTTGTCCTGTCACATTTGTATGATGTTTTACTTACACCGTTCATCTCGTTGCTGCTGTGTTTGCCTGCAGTGCCTGCCTCGTCTACATTGTCTATCTCGTTTGTATTGTATCTTCTATATTGTCTCATTTTCACAGGCTTGCCTATTTAAAATGTCTTGCTTTCTCTTGTCTGTACTGTCCGTCTCATCTCTACTGTCTTGTTATGTCTCTCTCATGTCTACTGTCTTGTTGTCTCCCATCTGTACTTTATGATGTCCGTCTGATTGGTATTGTCTTGCTATGCTTGTCTCACCTGTATTGTGAGTCTCATATGTATACTGTACTGTTTGTTCTGCCTGGTTTGTTTCAGTAGCAGCAAAGGTAGGAGGCTGTCCCAGCAAAAGTACACATCGCTCACGTTCAGGGCGTGCATCAATGTATGGATTCATAAAGTAACATTTATGTGAACACTCACAATACACACACTGATTTGTGCGTGTGATAATCGATTACTCTTGATTTATGCGAACGGAATGCAAATGATATGCTGATGATACATTTGGGCTTCGTGAATTGAATACAAATTAATAAATGAGAGAAAGGAAATGATAGAAATTAGATAGTAATAGCGAAACGAAAAATAATTGATTTATAATTTAAATCATGACCCCCGAATCGTGGAAATTCATCTAATCACCGGGGTGGTGTCGGTGGGGGGCTGAATCCTAACATATCTAGTCATGTTTTCGGAGATGGAGCGATGAAATCCACTCACGTGCAAGTGCTAGGTGGTGGATTGTCACAGAGATGGCCATGGCTTGGTGAGGCCTTAATTCAGCAGTGGATTGATCATGGCTGATAACGATGATGAAGGTTAATGGCTCGTGCTGTATTTATATTTTAACCATGTGGGGGGGGGGGGGGGGGGAGGCGGGGGGGAGGGACGACTCACCTTTGTGTTCGGTCTCCAGGCTCGGATCCTCTGCCACTTTTAGAAAAATCTGCGACAAGGACATAAACGACAGCGAAGATGATGAGAGACGGGGCAAGGTAGGGCCCACTGAGTTACTAAGCTCTTTATTCAGAAGAGCCCTGGCGATAATTGAAAGCTTGACAAAGTGACTCATCATCTGGAATTTGATAGCACCCGAATACTGAAAACGCGTGTCACTAAATGTGGCGGAAAAAAACGGAGGACCCGGAGAAAAATCCACGCGACCACGGGGAGAGAGACATACAAACTCCAAATATTCAGGCATCAGGGTCAGGATCGAACCCACAACCTCCTGTATACCAGGCGAGGCAGTTAACATCTCACCACCACAGCGTTCATGTCCAGACCACTCGCTCCACGCACGTCACTCACCGCTTCCCCAGCACAGGGTGTACGTGTTTGTGGCCGCTTGCTCATGGGCCAAACACAAACGTTAAACAAATCGCTGCCGAGATGCACTATTGAAGAACACTTCATCATTATCATCCTCATCATCCTCCTCATCGTGGCTTTGTGGCTCACCTCCTCCATGGTGGTGTCTGAGACCCCATAGCTGGAGATGCCCAGGCCCTCGAGCTTCGAGTCGAGGTGGCTGAAGAGGAGCGCGAAAGAGCCGTCGCGGGCTCCGGTGTACGGCAGCATGAACGTCACCTCCTGGCCCACGTTCTCCACCACGCGGGCACCGGGCACCAGCCTCTCCACGAGGTTCTGCAGAATCAGGACCTCGCCTGGGAGGGGGGGGGGGGGCGCCACAGTGGTGAGAGGTTCGCTAGTGTCCCTGTGCTTCCAGCAGAACGCCTCCGTTGCCGATGGCAACCTGCCGGCATACTCATCCTCCTGCTGCTACTCTACGGGTAGCTCTTCTCTCGTGTGTGCCCCTGGAGGGGGGACACACGTGTGTGCTCCTCAAGGGGCGCCGTGGTGGCGAGATGTTAACTCTCTCGCCTGAAATACAGGAGGTGGTGGGTTTGATCCCGACCCTGATGCCTGCTGTATATTTGAAGTTGCGTGTTCTCCTCGTGGTCGCGTGAGTTTTTCTCCAGGTCCTCCGGTTTTTCCTTCCACATTTAGTAATGTGCATTCAGAATATTTAGCTGCTATACATTTCCACATAAGCCACTTCATTCGGTTACCATTCCTGGCCAGATGTTGTATATATAGGTTTTTTTCCAAAAATTAATATTAACAATAATTCTGCCATTTGTTTAATAATAATAATCGATAAAATAAATAAAAAAGCACCCTAAACCCGCTACCTCCCACAAGCACCAAGCATCTGGAGGTCGTAAAAGGCCATTAAATAATAAACTCCGGGGCAAAGGGAGGTTAACAACGACGATCTGCAAAATCTCCAGATTGCCAAAGGACCTGCTTGGCGCTTTGGACAGTTCACAAACAAATATCCACAATCACAGGCACGGACACAGAGCACAGGGCAAACGGACATTATAACTGTTTTTTTTTGTACGGAAAAAGTTGAAGCTTGGCTATAAGAATAAGTCGACATTATAGACTGCAGTATTCCTTATATTATTTCTTATTGTATCTTTCTATCTACGTGACTTTACCAAGAGAACCAAAGTGCATGAGTTCCTGCAATCACGAAAACTTAAGTCCAAACTAAGCTATATCTCTGACCTCGAGAATAAAAAGCACCGATCCCTGGATGCAGACAGGGAGCAAAAAGTAATAAAACCCTTGAAATACCGGAGGTAACATCTAATGACATTACAAATCTTGGTTAAACATAAACCAAATAATAATCACAAGAGATTAGACCTAGGGTAACTCAAAATAGATACAAGAAAATAGGACAAACACACAAGACCAGATGAAATCAGAGCCTCCCCGGCCACCTTTGTCTTCCAACAATTTGACACAAACACATGGTAGCCATAAAATACGTATGAAGGGAGAGTGCCTCCCCTCCCTAATAGGAAAGACCACGAAGAGAGGGGTTGGGAATGCAAACAAACAAAATGTGATGGTAAAACGGTCAGTCAAAGGTCAAAAAGGGGGGGGGGGGCAGCCAGGCCGCTGCTGCCACGGGAGGAGGACGGTGACAGAGGGCATCTGTTGTTGTTTTCTCTCTCGCAAGAGACGCGGAGAGAGGAGAGAGAATTTCACATTTAAGCTCGGCAAGGGACAGCTCGACACAGCAGCTCGGCAAGGGACAGCTCGACACAGCAGCTCGGCAAGGGGCAGTTCGACACAGCAGCTCGGCAAGGGACAGCTCGACACAGCAGCTCGGCAAGGGGCAGTTCGACACAGCAGCTCGGAAGAGGACAGCAAGCCAGCTCCGGGGCATGGCCTCGAGATCAACAATGCGTGTGGTGGATCGCAGAGAAGAGGGGCGAGGTGACGCTCTGTGCTGAGTTTGGCATGGACCGAAAGTTATTCTCAGCGTCAAGCGATTAACCTCGAGAAAGGGTGGAGAGGGCCAAGCGTCGACCAAACCAGCATTGCAGAGAACCAGCTGCACGCGCAATCGGCACCGCCAGAGAGAGACGGAGCAAGAGAGAGCGCGCAGCAGCGCCACCAGCGCCACCAAGCGAAGCGTGCCAGCTGCCAGCGGACAAGCGCTGTGCCGACTCGGCTCATCCAGCAGAGGAAAGAGCCTGACCAGCCGCCCGTGAGCAAGAGTGTCGGCGCCAGCGAGAGCGCCGTGGGTTCGACCCACACGCACACCGACCAGCACCGGCTGGGAACCGAGACAAGAGTGAGGAACTGCAGCCAGCGGACGAGCTGCGGGCGCTATCTGACGACGGATCATCGCGCACTGACGGCGAGCGTCGTGCCGACTCTTCCAGCCAGCTGTGGACAGAAACTGTGGCCGCCCGTGTGAAAGAACGAGTGCCACGCTGTCCGTATGATACACACACCCTCACACCATCACCGCTCCGCAGGGAACAAACACATTTTTCATACAAGGGATGCCCAACCTCGGCGTATGCTTAACGCAAGAAGACCAACAACACTCACACATTAACACGTACAAGAAGACTCATGATAAGTGCGTCAACTATTAGCTGATAATGAAGAACCTTGCGGCCCATTGAGTTACGTGGATACGGTCATTTAGAAGTATTTTAGTCGTTCGTTTTTTTCTCTTTTTAATTGCATAATCTTACCAATGAATTAATTGTTTCTTTATTGCCGTCGTATGAATATCGTTGCATGAATTTTTTAGGACTTTTCCTCTCACCATGTATGCTCGCATACTCTGAGGAATAATCGATTGTTCTGTTACCCAGTTAACAAACGTGATCATTGAGGGTTAAATGTATGGATCAATGAGGGGAACATCTCCAGGAGTACTGTGTTGACAATTCCAAGCATAAGAGTTTGCATATTAGAGTGTTAAGGTTTTGTTTAGAAATTAAAATTGCTTAACACAGAAGTGTCTGAATGGTGCCTTCCTAAGTTCATGCATAATAATCTTAATCATAAGAACTGTATCCTGCGGTGAGATTTCAATTTGGAGACAAAAAAACACTAAGACATAATCAGTAAATGTTAAAGCGAGAATAATTGTATTATACCGATTGATAATACGAACCTAGACAACGAGGCAGGGCTTAATTATCATAATGGTACATCAGCATAATCACACACATTCACATAAAGTAATAGGATTATCTCTCTAATTAGCATAATTACATCAATTAACATAATTTTTGATACTTACGCATTTTTTCTATTTCATTTAATTTTTATTATTTTCATTAAATTTTCAATACCCAATATATACAACACAGGCCGCTTCTGAAAAATAACTAAATAGCTCAGTGGGCCTTACCTGGTAAAATGAAAATTGTTTTAGTTTCAATGGAGACTCCAATCTTGAAACCTGGTCATAACCATGACTCCAATGTTGAAATCCAGTTTCAATTGATACTCTGAATGTGAAACCTGATCTTAATGAACAATCGAATCCACAAACCTGGTCTCAATCTAGACTGTGATCCTGAAATCCAATGTTAATTGTGACTCGGATCCTAAAACAGTTTCAATCAAGAATTAAATCCCAAAACCTGGTCTGCTGGAGCTGAGCATCAGTAGAAACTCTCATTCTGAAATCCCGCTTGATTTGCAGATCCTCTTACCAGGAAGTTTATCTTCCAAACTTTTTTCACTGCTAAATCCTTCATCGGAACTGCTGCTGTGGCTTGAACTCCCATCAGTCTGCAAGCAGAAAACAGCAAAAATAGCGAGTTGTGTGTATGTCAGTTGGACTTCTTTTGCACCGTATGTAGCAACCGTGCTCATCGGAGGTGAGGGGATGAGTGACTGTCTATGTGGAAGAGTGCGTGAGAAAGGACATGAGCCTGTGTGTGAGCAAGTAAATAAGCTGGTGAGTCAGCAAGTGAGGGAGCAAGTGAGCGAGCAGTGAATGCTTCAGAAATAGGTGGGTGAATGAGTGTGTGACCTCGTAAATAAGTTAGTGAGCGAGAGATAACATGCATGAGTGAGCAAATTTAATAACGAGGCAGTGAGTGAGTTAAAGGTTGAGTTGGCAAACGATTGAGTAAATGAGCAAGTGAAAAAGTAAACAAGTGAATGAGTGATCAGCCGAGAAAGCAAATGAGTGAAGGAAAGACAGAACGAGTGACTGAGGATGCAAGCGCATGATTCAACAAGTGCAAGTTTCACCTCGTCTTCGTTAGTATCCAAGTTTCCACCGCCACCACCTCCGCCGCTTTTCCCCGGCATTTCTGCCGGTTGCTGCTGGCCCTTTCCACTCGGGCCCACCACGTCGGCGCTGCTGCGCACCACGGTGAGGTAGTAGCCCGTGCCGTAGCAGGACTTCAGGTAGAGGGGGGAGCCGCAGCACCGGAGCCGCCCGCGCGCTATCACCGCGATGCGGTCGCCCAGCGTCTCCGCCTCGTCCATGTGGTGAGTCGACAGGATGATGGTGCGGCCTGGGAGCACGACGGTGAGTGGCGGTGAGCGTTGATGTGTGCGCATGTGGTGTGTGTGGGGAGTGTAAGTGCAGTGGTTCGTGCTTATCATGCTGCGCTATGAACCCAGCGACCCGGGTTCGATTCCGGCTGATGGCCAACACCGGTGACGATTACCTGAACCGGTGTTGGGCCTCCGCTCGGTCGACTCAACCTCAAATGAGTACCAGGTGCTGTGTTTAAACATCTCCACTGGGGAAACAAAGCTGACTGGGTGTGGTGCTGGCCACCTATCCCCACGTGCCGTGCCAGCCTTCATAGGTGCTCACTAAGAGCACTTGTGTCAACAGTCTGTCAAAGGCTATATGGGGGAACTTTATCTTGTATATACAGTAAGAACTCATTTACGTGTGCGCGTGCGTTCATGTATAACCACTGTCCTCACGAAATACTTTTTCCTGCCAAGGGAATGTAGGATTTCCACCGCAGGCACCCAGCCTGTCCCCTGAGCAGGGGTTGAACCCGTACCATGTTTGTACTTGAGTAGGAGCTCCCAGATGCCACGGCGAGCGAAGGGATCGACTCCGGCGGTCGGCTCGTCCAGAATCACGAGCCGAGAGCCAGCCACAAACGCCATCGCCACCGACAACTTCCGCTGCATCCCACCTGGTAGACAAAGATAAAGACAAAGATCCCCCGTGTAGATTTACCCGACTGTTGGAGCAAGTGCTGCTAGCGGGCGGGTGACCAGCACCACGCCTGGTCGCCTTTGTCTCCCCAGTGGCGATGTTTGCACACCACATCGGGTACTCATTTGAGGCTGAGTTGGCCTTGGGGAGGCCCAGGACCGATTCGGATTATTCTCACTGGCATTGGCCGTGAGCGGCACTCAAACACACTGACCATGGCACTACCGATAATAAAGGTTTTTGCGTAAAATTGCGTAAATCTAAATGTGCATTTAAGCATTTAAGCTATGTAACTCAAAAAACCTGTATTATGAACAATACCAGTCGCGAAAGGCTACGTTGCACTACCACTCCCCACCTGGGAGAGGGCACAGTTACACTGACCCCTCACCTCTCCACTCACTCTCACCTGTCGCACTGTGAGACATTTTCCACACGCATCCGCGTACAGTACTGTACACTAAAGGGAAGAATATCGTGTGGTTAAACCTCACTGACTCACTGGAGGCTGGGAATAGCACGTGACCTGGGACCCACGATGCGCTGCTTTGGGAAACAAGATAGCGCGTGCGTTCTTCTGCGGCAGCAGCAGCAGCATCATCATCGCGAGCAGTACAGTTACGACGCGTACAGGAATGTCGCCGTCAAACACTTCCAATCGATCCACAGGGGCGCGATTGGTGAACTGTACCTCGGTAAATTTGGCGAGAAAACCGAAAAACCGCGATGTTAGCTGAACTCGCGAGAGGGAAGGGTTCGCTGCATTACAGATTACGATGATGCATCTACTACGACGGAACTGAAAATTACTTTCCTCCTCATCATCTTGCTGCCAACTGCTATGACTGCTGCTGCTGCTGCTTTGGCCGTCGCGTGTTATGTGCCACCTCACCGGACAGGTTCTCCGCATGCTCGGCTCTCTTCATCAGCAGCCCTGTGTCCTCCAGCATGCGCTCCACCTCCTCTTTCGCGTCTTCTGATGAGCAGCCCTTGAGCCGCGCGTAAAACCAGATGTGCTCCTCCACGGTCAACCTCGTGGGGACAAGGCATCATCGCCCGTTAACAATGCCCATGGAGGAGAGACCGAGTCTGTGATTGACGCGAGAGAGAAGACTGGTCTCCGGCCATAGGAATGTGGAATTTTCAGTGTTGGATCGATGGAGGTGAGCACTTCCTTAAACTAAATGCAGTATGGAGACACTTTGAACGAGTGAGCGAGTGACAGAATGAGTGGGTGAGTAAGTGTGGGTGAACAAACGAGTTCATGGGTGAGTGAATAGGTGAATGATTGAATAAGTTAAATGAGTGAATCAGTGATTGTATTAGTTAGTGAGTGAGTGCGTGCGTGCGTGACTGATGCAATTAGTACATGAGGAAGTGAATCAGTGAGTCGGCGTATATGTGAATGAGCGATTGAGTGAGTGAGCCAGGGTGTGCACTCGTTCGCGAAGAAACAGGGTGGATGGGCGAGTGAGTTGGTGAGCGAGTGAGTGAGCGAGCAATCAAGCTGGTGAGTGCAGAACGTTCCTGTGTGCACTCACTGGTTGAAGAGCACGTTGTGTTGGGGGCAGGTGCCAAGGCTGCTCCGAATCGACTCCATCTCTGTGCGGATGTCCTTGCCGTAGATGAGGGCCGTGCCGGACGTCGGGGGGAAGAGCCCCGTTAGGATGGACCTGAGTGGGAATTTAAGCGTCAAGCGAAGTGGAGGGCTGGGTGGCTCACGTGGTTCACAATGGGCGTGTCGGGTTCGTAAAGGTCGTGTTGGGGACACTGAGTTATGTCAGGATCTTAAACACGACCATCACAACGTACACCATCGCCGTCATCATAATCAGTCTCATCAAACATCATCATCAGCAGCAGCAACATTAGCAGCAGCATATTCACCATCGTCGTCATCGGCAGCAGAAAAGCATTTGTTGCCATCATTGTCATCAACATCGTCATTGATTATCACCACCATTATCAGCAGTAGCATTATCATCAAACATCATTGTCATCATCACCACCATTGTCGTCATTATCACCAGCAACTTCACCACCACAACCATTAGCAGCAGCACAAACAGCAATAGCATCAACACCACCATCGTCATCACTTTTATCATCACCACCCACACCGACATCAACAACAACAGCTGCCATTTGCCACTAAGTGGCAGTGTCGTCACCACGGCCGCTGTGGCAGTCCAGGTACACTTTGAGGCCACGTGAAGTGTCGTAGGCTCGCTGACAGGTGTTCACGGGACAGGTGCTATGGGTTGACTGATTGAGATGACTGGCAGATGAACCCACCAGCAGGGCTCCCTACTGTGCCACCTTGTTGCATTCGCTCGTTGTTTTAACCCAACGCAAATGTTCCTTTAAAGGGCTCCATGTTTTGCAAGCATAGAGAAGAGAGGGCATAACTGTGGCCCAGAAGACCCGGAGCTTCGTATGGAGTGATAGGCCAGGTAGCTTCCACACAGCGTTACGCAGCTGATGAAAAGGTAATGCCACTCAAATTATTCGGAGTAAGACCTCTGCTGCCAAACCTGCCAAACAGTCATAAGCAAAATGCCCAGGTACGAAAATGTCTCCACTCTCTCTACAACTGCCCCATCACTCATGGGGAGTTGAGGGGGTAGAGTGTTTGATGATATAAAGTACCTAGGCAAGTCTTTGGTGTGGCTGATGGTAAGGCCCCACCTCTTAGTTGAATGCTTCAGGTTCTGTTGTAATTTCTCCAAATCCTTCTCAGACAAGGCAGTAATTATCTTAGCCATCCCTTGACTGCACACGGGCATCGATTAGCCTCCCATTGTATCTGTACCGTAGCTACGTGTCCAAAGAAGATGATAAATAATGTAGGGGCCAGAGTATATCTCTGTCGCAGCCCAAAGTGAACAGGAAAATAGCACCAACTCCCGGCCATGCAACATTACCCACAATATCACCACCACCATCGCCACCACCCCCTCCACCAGTAGGAAACCAAAAACAAAGATCCCCCGTATAGCCTTAACAGGCTGTTGGAGCAAGTGCAGTTAGCAAGCACCTTTGAAAGCTGGCACGGTACACGAGGGGGTGGGTGGCCAGCACCATGCCCGATCGCCATTGTCTCTCCAGTCCTCATTAGAGGCTGAGTCGGTCTAGGAGAGGCCCAGGATGGATTCAGATAATCGTCACTGGTGTTGGCCATGAGCGGGAATGGAACTTGGGTCGCCGGGTTCGTAACCGCTTACACTTCCGCTCCCTGCCACCAGCACCCCATGTGTGACTCACATGGTCGTTGTCTTCCCTGCTCCGTTGTGCCCCAGGAAGGACGTGATCTGGTCTTGGTAGAAATTCAGGCTCAGCCCGTCAACAGCCGGGCGCTTCATCGTCGAGTACTTCTTCACCAGGCTCTGCACGCTCACTCCCAGTGTGAGCTCCACTGACTCCTCCTCGACAAGGACCTCCTCTGCAGACAGATGCAGAAAGGGGGAGAGGTCGGTCTCCCACTGTGTCACGCAGGGCTCTGCGACAGCATTCATTTAGTCAGCATATTTTATTGCAGGCTTAGTCTGGTCGATTACAGCCTTGGGAATTTCAGTCAATTTTTGTATGTATGTTGAACTTATTTCGCTCTGTACGTGCAGGGTAAGGATAACAAACTAAACACAAAAAGCAGTTCGAAAGAAATTCGTTTTCAATCTAGATTGAGAAGTGCATAGCTCTAGTGGTTTCCCGATATTGGAAAGAAGAGGATTTCAGACTGCAGCAGAAGCGCATATGGAATTGTGTGATGCGGTAACCATCTTGGTCTCTGGATTGTATTTAGTCATTCTCTTAATATCCAGGATCTCCTTGATGCTGACTGGGTGTCTAGGACACTGAGAGAGAAAGGGAAAGAGAGCAAGAGAGAGAGATGCACCCAGCCCCAGAGCTTGAACCTCCAAATCAGGACCTCAACAGTTCTGAATGTCTTTGACACAGCCATTATGAGCGTGCGACTCTAGACTTTACCCCTGTTCAGATGTCCGTCGGGTTGAGCGTTTGTTCGTTTTGTTGCCTTCATTGTGGACTTTTTCTCCTTGCTCCGGCTCATTCCACCGCTTCCTTGGCCCTTCCCTTGGGAACACCGGGCACTCCTTTTTCCCTTCTTGGATGCCCGCTCCTCAGCTGACCATGCCACCCGCCTGTCATGATTGACCGCTGTCCCAGAAACCTCTGCTTCACGGTTGCCCCTTTTCCCAGAATCCCTTTTCTCAGTGCCGCCTCCTCCCCCAGGATTTCCCTTGTCACCACCGCCATTTTCCCCAGAATTCCTCTCTTCTTGGCCACCCCCTTTCTGTGCCACTTTCTCACCCTGGCTGGCCTCTGGCTGCTTCGAGCCTTTTCTGTTTGTCGTGGCAATGGTTGCAGGACCCGTGGCCGAACTTCCTTTTGCTGACGATTTTGTTGCAGTTTGAGAAGATGAGGCGGAGAAACATGAAGGCGGAGAGAAAGACAAAGGTGAAGGGAGGAGGAAGAAAACGAGAAAAGTTTACACCTCGATGGATGGCTTTAAAGAAGTTTTAGAAATATACACGGCAGATGATGAAGCTAAAGAAAGATGCAGCCCAAAAGATTTTACATTGAACCAGGGATCTTAGTTGTGTTCCAATGATCACTGACGTGACAAATCACCCGTAATACTCGTCAGATCTCGGAAGGGAAGCAAGGTCCAATGTGCTAAAAGGCTGTCGGGCTACGTGGTGGGCAGCAGAGAGCACCGTATAAAAAGGCCACTGTTGTGCTGTACTTGTAATACCTCACTGAACGTGGGGGTCACGTTCCTGGAAAAGGCCATGTTGCGCAAAACCACGTTCGACAAATAATATACCTCATGGGAAAATAGGGTTGCATTCCTGGGTCCGAAATTATCACACCCCCCTCGCTCTTTGTTTCACTAATTGTATATTACTTACCCCACTTGGTATCACGTAAAAATAATAACAGACACACAATATATTTCAATAGAATAAACTAAAACCGCGTATGGCTGAAACATCACCCCCGTGTTCCGGAAAGGGTACCTCAATAAGTTAAATGCGTGTAGCCGAAACACACGTCCGATACAACAGCGTTAGACAAAGGTACTTGTACGCTCCCACGCCTCTGCTCTCCACCTTCACCAAACGCACACCGACCAGCGGCGGCGTAGGTTATCGAATAACCCACACAAGCTGCAACGGCGTGGTGGGGGAGGCCCCCCTCATCCAGCAGTGGATTGAACAAGGGGCTGTACGCGTACACGTGTAGAGTCCCCGCCGGGTGAGGCTCACCAGCCATGGGTTTGGAGGAGGTCGTCCCCTGTGGGGACTGAGGGCTCAGCGTGGCGACGCAGCTCGTGAACGGGAAATGCCACGGCTTGGGGACTCCGTACTGTCCTGTGGAGTAGAGAGAAAGAAATAAAGAGAGAGGGAGGGCCCGACACGGCCATTATGAACCTACCACCTCAGAGAGATCAGGAGAGGGAGGCACTTTCACTAGACAAAACATTGATGCTATCCCCAAACAGTGACAATGAAGGCATTACCCTGTTCCATGAAGCATAAAGTCTAACTCCAACATTAACGTAAACACATCTTACCACTCACACCAACCTAAGCCTAACATGAAACATAACGCTCATCGTCCTTTAACTAACCCTAATATTGAACCGAGCATTAAACCTAACATTAAACCTAACCCTAACAGTAACACCTAACACTAACTGTAGCCACTAATCCTACCACTCACAATGCTGGAAATCCATGCAGTTCAGCCCAGGACACACGACCTAGGCGTGGAGCTACTGAAGAAGAGCTGCATGCTTTTGGGTCGGATTGTCTGTGAAGCCAAGCTGAACTGTACACCACTCAAGACTCCGCCAATGTATATGCAGCAGTAATCTACTTTCTCCACTGCCTCCTAAAGGCACTACAAAAGGAGAACACCACGAGTAAACCGGCACGCCGGGCAACCTCCAGATCCGATCCCGACGCACCTGGGAACACGGCCTCGATGTACCAGGTGAGGATGCCATAAAGGACCGCGTCGCACAGCATCATCAGCAGGGATATGAGCAGGGTGTACGACTCTCCGGCCGCCGGGTTCGATGCCAGGTTGTGCCACTGGATTCCGATTCCTTGCTCCTCCAGGCGGGAGATGCTTTCACATCCAAAGCCAAAGGCTACGGTCGAAAGTAAACTCTGCAACAACAAAGAGAACACTCAGTTATAATATTAGTGATGTACGTGCGGGTCGTGGGGGTACGTGGGGGTTATTTGACAAGGCTTCAGCATGTTGGCTCGTAGCGGTTGGTGAAGGTAGGCCTCATAGATATACAGTACAACAATGGATTTTGCTGCATGGCCCTTCACTGCCCACAATTGTGGCCCTGCAGCAGCCTAAAACAGCCTGTCTTGTGCGTGGAGGTCACCCGACTAAGCACTGCGATCCAGCGCTTCGGTGGCATAAACGTTGATATTGAGAGCAGTTCGGGTGACGTGGCCATAGGTGGTCACGGGCGCTTGAAAACTAACGAATGAACATAAATCTTCCCGAGTTAACGGCCAGAGCTTAAATTCTGTCCAGGATGCGCCACCTTAAAAATATATCCGCACCAGGCAGGCATACCTCCGATTAGCACGGTTGGGTACGTACGGTGCAAAAGAAGTTCAACAAAACATACATACATACACCACATCCAGTACACCTCTCGCGATGGCTGCGGCAACTATTCCCGTCTACTCAAACTCAGTCCCCGGTGATGAGCAAACCAACCAATCAACGAACACCGGACGGACAGATGCACGCAGGGTTTCGTGGAACTTACGACTCCCATCTTGATGGGGAAGGTCAAGTAGTCCTGCCACACGAAGCACAGGATGTGCGGGAGGTAGAGCAGGAAATAGGCGAGGCCTCCGCACGCCGCTGCGAGGTTGGCTCTGGAGAAGAAGACGCTGAGCAGCAAGCACTGCGACACGGTCGCAATGGCGAACACCGTCAGGAACAGGAAGAGCACCAAAGGGTCGCTGTACTGCAGCACTTTCCCGTACTTCGGGAGTCGGAGGTTGCGTGGGATAGGGGCGAGAGGGGGTGGCAGTGTTTGGTTAGGCTTACTTCTGAATACTCCTACGTGTACGAGGTAATCACAGACTCACTTGCTGTACAGCGCGTCGTCCTGGCTGTCTGGCAGCCTGGCAGGTTGTGGAGTTTCACAGTGTGTTATAAATCTCGGTGATAGCCACCAACCCTGCCTCCTCAGCACTGGATCGCGTGCATTCACCACCATAGCCAGATGTGGAAAGAGTTTCTGCCAATGACTGGTAGAAATACAGACAAATCTCTGACAATTTATGCAGATTTAGCCATTTTGTCCACATACAAAAATACAGCAAAGGCATAATTGCGATGTTTCGCACAACATGAAATTGGCCACATTGTTTAATGCTCATTTAAAATGTGTTCTAATCATACAAATATTGCTTGCTGTTTGCGATCTGAAGGAAAAGTATTCTGTCTGACCAAGTAAACTATGAGGTTCTTCGGTGAGCTCAAACACACGCTCATTTGCCACTGAGCTCGTTAGCAACGGCGTTGTTAATTTAACCGTGTTCACAAGCCTAATGAGTTGATGGTCTCATTGACTGAATGTTAATAAAAATTGGTTTGATCGCGATTCCATCAAAGCCGAATTACTAGACAACAGTAGTTTGATCTTTGTGTTCAGGTCTAATGAACTAAGACATGAGCACAGTCTGTAGCGATTATTACTGAGAGAGAAAGGGCAGCAGAGAAATTGAGTCAATAACCACACAAGTGAAATATAATTGGGAGACAAAAACCCAACAAACGTATGACAATAATTGTTAACAAATATTAGCGATGAGTTGCTATACGAACGGAGTAACCGAGAGAATTGGCTGTCTCAATAACGGCAGTTACTTTGTAACTGTTTAATAAAAAAGACATCGCTACGCGTGAACCATAAGCATGCAATGACACGTAAATTAAAATAGTTTTAACAGTCATGGTACGATGTGTTACAACTATTGACAATTCACGAAAATGGCACGCAAACGTACAAACGAAATGGGAAAGTTTCGATTTAAAGCTTTCGTGACTGCAATGATTCATCTTCTTTGGTTCTTTCGGTAGAGTCACGTAGAATGAGAATAAAATAATAAATTGATAAAGGACAAAAGAGGCAGAGAAAAATTGATTCTTGGAATGAATAGTGATGCCCATTTGTGACAATTCCTCAAAACCGCTGGCAGGTGGGGATGGGGAGGAGGGGGGTGGTGAGATCCATTACAAGCCCGATGGACCGGGGTCGCAGAGACAGGAGAAGCGCGAGAGGGCAGCGCCATTACCATGAGCAGCAGAGTTAGCAGCACGTTGCTGAGGCTCGCAGAGACAAGGCAATCGATAAAGCAGGTAAGCCAGAGGGTTCGAGCGTCCAGTCCCATCGAACGCATGGTCTCCCGGAGTCGGAGCTCCTTCTCCAGGACCACGTTTTTGACGGTCATTGAGACGGCGAAGACCCAAGAGAGGACCATGAAGAGAGCGAAGCAGCGGCTCAGGGCCAGAGAGAACCTAGCGAGGTAGGCGCCGAGACAAGCGGGTGGGAAGACAAAGTTCGACGACGGTCGGTCATCGGGCGAAGACGATTTTGGAAAGTGATGCAAACGGTGTGGAACACCGCACCTCCAACGGGCGCGGTTGGCTACGTATGGCGCGAAAGAAGTCCAACGTCCAATGTACATGCCGTAAGCCGCGGTGAACCCTTGTCTAATCCGATAGAGAACCCCATTATGGAGCGCTTGTCTCTTCCGGCACAGAAGCTCCATTCTATCTGATGCAGGAACCTTGCCTGGTGTTATTACAGAATTTTAACCAACTCTCCACTCAGCCATCTCCGCTCAATCACAAATGACCCTGCAGATCCCAACACTCCTTTGTATTGTTCACTAAATGAATGTAACAAAATAATTGAATGACTGGTTTGTTAACTTACCCTTTGGAATGACTGAAGTGATATGATTATGTAATCATTTAACTCTGTTGTATAATTTTATTCAATAACTTATATCTTTCATTGATTAATGAATCACTCGGACCACAGGCAGCGCCACAGCTGGGGCAGGAGGGGCGGACGCCCCCCACTGTAGACTCTGGGGCCGGGGCGAAGGGCAAATTATAGATTTTCACCTTCATACCCCTGTGGGACAAGGGGTAAGAGCCATTTTACCTAATTTTAACAGTAAAATCTACATATTTTTTGACTAGCACATACGTTTCCTGCAAAAATAACATCTACAGTCGAATGAACACGGAATGAATACATATGTTCATACACATATGTTCATTCTATTACGTGTTATATACGATAGATTACGTACATTAAAAACAATGCTACTCCGAGGAGGGAGATGCTGTAGCGGAGGGGGTGGGTAAAAGAATGTACCATGAAATCCAACGTTAGGGAATCGAACCTGCATTTTAAACAAAGCCATATATTACCCTATCCCCTTGGCTATAGCTCCTGCACACAGAAGACACCAATTTATTTTCGCCACCCAACATCTGCAGTGTTACTTCATCCTGAATCCCCATGGCCATTTTCGCCGCCCCTTTGTGACGCAGTTAATTTCCCACCAGTTGTTAAACTGATGGTGGACACCGCCCTGGACTTGACCGTCCAATCGCGTAGGCCCGATTAAAAAAAAAAATTTTGGCGGATATCTCCGCCCTCAGCCTGCGACATCACCACTGCCGCCGACCTTGATGATCACGGCGAGGAGGGTGCAGGAGACGACCATTATGAGCGCGCTGTCGATGAACCACGCGGCCCACAGCGTGCCGCGGCCTAGGCCCGAGGCCCGCAGCACCTCCTTGAGGCGGCACTCCTTTTCCCAGACGATGCTCTTGATGGTGAGGCACACGGGCAGGATGAACGCGAGCGTCATGAACATGGGCAGGATGTTACTGATGGACTTGGTGAAGCTGCCGGGGGGTCAGGGCGCAAGGGTTCAGGGGTAGGGGCAGAGTTAAGGGGGTAGGGGCGGGGAAAGGCTTAGGGTTAGTGCAAGGGCTAGGAATATTGTTAATGATAGGATTAGGGTTAGACTTTGAGTTCGGGTTAGTGGAAGGGTTAAGGCAAGGGGTAGTGTTAGTGGTTAGGGATAGGGTTAGCGTTAGTGGAAGGGTTTGAGTTGGGGGTTAGTGTTAGGTTGATTGTTAGTGTGAGGGTTAGGGCTATGGTTCGACATTCGGGCTCGCGCTAAATATTAGGACTAGTGCTTGATTTTAGAGCTCCGCACTCCCAGCGGAAATTGCGGCCACTGCACTACCGGTGACAACTGGGAGGGGGGTGTGAGGGAACGCGGGTGGCCTTACACGTCATCGACGAAGCAGGGGTACGGCATCTGCTGCAGGTAGAGGCCAATGGTGGCCGCGCCCGTCTGCGCCTGCACGATCCCGCGCTCTACCATGTCCTGCAGGTACGCAAAGCCACCCCAGATGTAGCTCATGTCCTCAGCTGCATCTGCGCGAGGGCCCGGGTCCCAGTAGCTGGTATCCCGTCACGGCCGCCGAGAACCCGGAGAACGGGTTGTGGGATTGCAGAGCAAAGGAACGGTGGGGGGGAGATGGCGGAGGTCGAGTTATGGTAAATTAATTTGATCCCTTGACCCTTCCCCGTTTCGATCACGAACGTGTACATCATCAAAACGAAACCGGAATAAAAACTAAAATAAACTAAGTTTATCGGTACCGAGGCTCCCACAAGGCCATGTGAGAGAGTGTGTGGCACAGTTTGGCGCCAGCTATCGTAGAGTGCGGTCGCGTCGCTACAGTTCTCTGTGGTGAGTACAGTGTCTTCAAAAAGCAACGGCCTCTCTAAATAAAATTTACGCAGAGTCACTTGCGCGTTCCGATATTCAGAGGTGAACGGGACTCACCCTGCAACTTACAGACGTCAAATGGGATAATTCTTTATTATCATAATCAGCTATGATCTACCTACTGCTGGATGAAGGCCTCCCCACAAGCAATGAATGATGATTGTGGCTATTATTTATTTACATTGACAATGACAACGCTGTTGCTTCTGCTTGTGCCGATCCTGTTCCTGCAACTACATTTGCTTCTGCAACTCCTAGAAATGACGCTTCCGCTACTGCTGCTCCTGTCACCGCTGCCTCAGCTGCTGCTGGTGATGCTGCTGCTACCGGTCTCGGCTCTTGCTTGTCCTCTCGATGCGGTCGATGTCGGTGCGGATCTTGTAGCGCAGGTGCTGCGGCAAGGCGGAGGGAGAGAAGAGGTCCAGGAAGACTACGCCGGCCCAGAGCTTCTGCTCCTCCAGCAGCTCCAGTGCCCGGCGCTCCAGCCCGGGCTCGTCCTGCACCCCCTCCAGCTTGTCCAGCTCCATGCACTGCCACACGTTTGGTGAGCGCAGATTTAGCGAGCGCCTACTGAGTGAGGCCGGCGAAGTTTTCATGTGTGTATTTAAGGGTTCGTGTGTACGGTATGTGTGTGAGTTGTGCTGCTGCTACCCATGCCACTACGCTTACCTCTACCCATGCCTTTACCTGTACCTTTACCCCTGCTTCTACACCTGCCTCCACCCGTGCCTTTACCTGTGCCACTATATGTACCACTATCCTTGCCTCTATCCATGCTGCTACACGCTACTCTTGCCTCTACTTGTGCCACTATCCATGCCTCTACGTGTCTCATTATCCATACCTCTACCTGTGCCTCTATCCTTGCCGCTACCCATGTCATTATCCATGCGCTGTCCCCGGCTGCACCTCAAGGAAACGGGTGAGCGAGCGAATGGCGACGTCCACCACCGTGAACATCTCCCTCCACCCCGGCGCCGTGCCATTGCCTCGCTCCCTCGATGGACCCGCAGAGAGGAAGTCGGCAATGGTTCTGGCATCCAGCCCGGTGTCCGAGAGTTGGGAGTCGACGAAGGTGGCCACCGCAACGTTCCCCAAGGTCTCCTGTCGCCGGGTCAAAGGGCGTGGGTTCAACATAGCCATGTTGCAAGACAAGCGTTTCGAGCTCCGGGGCAGTGCATCTCTCTCTCGCTTATTGGGCTCATGAAGCCTGCGTCACTAGGCCAGTACTTCCGAGATCCTGGATTCAAACCCTGGATCTGGGTGTCTCTCACGACGCTCGTCTCCCTCTCTTGGGAGGTTCATCATGGGCCATTCAAGTTCATGAAGGCGCTTTAGTGACACCAATACAGCACTACCGAGATCGTGGGTTCAAGTCCAGGGTCGAAGTGTCTCTCAATACATGTGCCTCTGCCTCTCTCAGGAGGTGTATGATGTCTACATCTGAGACAATACGCAGACACCATTGAGATTCTGGGTTCCAGGTTTAACGTCTAGGTCTGGGTATCTCTGTATGCGTGTCAGGACGTTCATAATGGCCATTTTGGAGATGATAATTAAGCATGCCCATGGTAGGACAGTATTTAGGGGTAGGGTAAGTGATCCTTATGGCGGTACCCCGGGGTACCAAAGAATACAAAATGGCCAAGGAAATTTAATATTTTATTTCTGGGGGACACTTTTCTTTCCAGGGGTGTACTTCACTCCGCGACTGGGGTAACCAATCAATCCGAAATCGGCGCTACTCCGCGATGTCGAAACGCAGCGAGGACGATTGCGCTCAAACCCTGCACGCTCGTACGCACCGTAGCGGTGCATCGTGTACAGCTCGTCGAGATGAGTCAATTGCCGCATCGCCGACCATCAACAGACTAAAAATGACTGCATCACGGACATTATGCGAGAGCCGGGGTACTATGGTACCCCGGGGTACCGCCATAAGGTTCAAGTGATGCAGGTGAACATGACAGGATAAGTGTTAAAGATAGGGATAGGCAATAAACATGGTGAGGGAGGTGGGGGGGAGGTGGGCCTTACTCTGAGTAGCCTCAGGGCCAAGCTGCTGTTGAGGAAGTCCCAGATCTGGGGCGCGACCTCCTCCCACGCAAGCCCGAACTTGTAGATCATCTCCAGCTCTGCGAATGTGCGGTTTGCCTGCAGCAGCAGCAGCGCAAGAGACAGCAGAACCAGTTGGGGAGTAATAGCGGCAGCAGAAGCAACAGCAGCTTCGTCAACAAATTTATAATTGCTACTTTCAACATCACCGGCACTATCAACATGATTATTGTTGTTCTCATTTATCACCTCTATGAGACTGACACGACCAACACAGACATCACCACCATCATCACCAACGAAACACCACCATCTCCATTATTATCACCGCCATCATCTCCACCACTTCCATCAATACCACCTCGGACACTGCTGTTTCCACCTTCACACCACCATTATCACTACATCATCACCACCACCACCACCTACATCATCACCACCACCACCTACATCATCACCACCACCACCTACATCAACACCACCACCACCTACATCATCACCACCTACATCATCACCACCTACATCATCACCACCATTATCACTACAACATCACCACCACCACCTACACCAATACCAACAATACAATTACAATGATAAACACAGTGAACACCACCCCCTCCACCACTAGCACAACGATGAACACAACCTACACCACCCCCTCCACCACTACCACAACAATGAACACACAACCTCCACCATCCCCTCCACCACTACCACAACGATGAACACAACCTACACCACCCCCTCCACCACTACCACAACGATTAACACAACCTACACCACCCCCTCCACCAAGACCACAACGATGAACACAACCTACACCACCCCCTTCACCACTACCACAACGATGAACACAACCTACACCATCACCTCCACCACTACCACAATGATTAACACAACTGACACCACCGCCTCCACCACTACCACAACCATGAACACAACCTACATCACCCCCTTCACCACTACCACAACGATGAACAGAACCTACACCACCCCCTCCACCACTACCACAACGATGAACAACAACCTACACCATCCTCTCCACCACTACCACAACAATGAACAACAACCTACACCACCCTCTCCACCACTACCACAATGATAAACACAGTCAACACCATCACCTCCACCACTACCAGATTGATGGCGTGGAGGAGGCCGTGATGGCGTGGAGGAGGCCGTGATGGCGGGGAGGAGGCCGTGATGGCGTGGAGGAGGCCGTGATGGTGGGGAAGAGGCCGAGATGGCGGGGAGGAGGCCGTGATGGTGGGGAGGAGGCCGTGATAGCATGGAGGAGGCCGAGATGGCGGGGAGGAGGCCGTGATGGCGGGGAGGAGGCCGTGATGGCGGGGAGGAGGCCGTGATGGCGGGGAGGAGGCCGTGATGGCATAGAGGAGGCCGAGATGGTGGGAAGGAGGCCGTGATGGCGGGGAGGAGGCCGTGATGGTGTGGAGGAGGCCGTGATGGCGGGGAAGAGGCCGTAATGGCGTGGAGGAGGCCGTGATGGCATGGAGGAGGCCGAGATGGCGTGGAGGAGGCCGTGATGGCACGGAGGAGGCCGAGATGGCGGGGAGGAGGCCGTGATGGTGGGGAGGAGGCCGTGATGGCATAGAGGAGGCCGAGATGGGGGGAAGGAGGCCGTGATGGTGGGGAGGAGGCCGTGATGGCGTGGAAGAGGCCGTGATGGCGTGGAGGAGGCCTTGATGGCGGGGAGGAGGCCGTGATGGCGGGGAGGAGGCCGTGATGGTGTGGAGGAGGCCTTGATGGCGGGAAGGAGGCCGTGATGGCGGGGAGGAGGCTGTGATGGCGTGGAGGAGGCCGTGATGGCGGGGAGGATTCCGTGATACACTCACTCATCTTACACTCACTCACTCATCATACGCTGACTCATTCACACATCATACACTCACTCACACAGCCACTGACCCATTCACTCATCATACACTCACTCATCATACGCTGACTCACTCACACATCATACACTCACTCACACTACCATTGACTCACTCACACATCATACACTGACTCACTCATCATACACTAATTCACACATCATACACTCACACTACCACTGACTCACTCACACATCATACACTGGGAGTGTCATGCGTTATGTATATCGTGTATTGTTAAATTTGAATCACAGTTCCTATGATTACTGTTGTTACATTGTTTTTATAGCTTTATTTTGGTGATTTCGAAAACATATGGTTAAGCCATGTTTCTTGCAGAAGTGCGGAGTTGGCCTGATAACTTTAATCTAAATTGTCTTATGGTTGTTATTGTTTGACTTGCATCACACTGGGATTTTTGCACACAGCGTTGTAATACGGTGTTTTTTTCGTGGAAGATTTGCTGGTTTATCCAGGATGTTTCTGTTGCGCGTCGTCTCTTTAAGATGTTCTCTGTTCATATTTGTTTTGTTGCGGTTGCACCCGACTCAAGAGCCGCATGGCTCACAGGGCTATACCTAATAAATTAAACTTGAAAACTTGATCAACACAACTGACACCATCACCTCCACCACCGCCAGCAGCAACAGCAGCAGTGGCGGCTGTGGCGGCATCGGTGACAGTGCGGTTACCTCGTGCATGATGCTGCGGGTGGCTGGCGTGTCCGGCGAGTACAGGATCTTGCCCTGGAGCAGTGGCTGGAGCATGGTCCAGGCGAAGCGTGACGCGCTGTTCGTCTGCAGGCTTTGCAGCAGGGCGTTACAGAACGGGGCTGCAGGGCCGAGACGCATGCGCACAAAGGTCTTGGGGCGCGAGGTCAGATGGCCAAGAGGTGGTGTTTGGAGGTCACCAATACCACCAGAATCACTATCAATGCTATCACCGTCACCTCAACCACCGTCATGATCATCACCACCACAAACATCTCTTTCATCACTTTCGCTACTGCTATCAATCACCAACACCACCGCCACCACCATCACCACTATCAGCATTATCACCACCACACCCAATACCATAATTATCATAACCACCACCAACTACATAATCATTAGTACCACCATCATCAGCACCACCTCCATCATTATAATTACTAACTTCAACATCACGACGAATATTACCACAACCAAAGCTATCAACCCTAATCACCATCACCACCACCACCACCATCTCACTTGTTGAGTTGTCATACTGATGTCGGCGTCTGCCTCCCTGCCGCTCCTCGTCGTTGCCACCACCAACGTCGTCATCATCGATGCCCAGGAAGGTCTTGTAGTCATTGTCCTCGTACCAGTTTAACGAGAGGATCTGGCGCCCGCCCGCCTCGGGGTGTCCGCACAGGAGACCTGAAAGCGATGACAGCACCGGCCCAACCTGCTCCTCACGCAGGCCGTCACTCGTGTTCTCAGCCAGGCCCAGGCTGTTCAAGAAGGAAGCCTCCCTCCTCAGCGACGTGAAGCTTTGCAGCGATGTGAACTGTGGTGGGGGGGGGGGGGGGGGAAGGGAAGTCTCGCTCACAAGAATACGCGACTCACAATAACCAAACAGCTGACGTGACCAGGTTGCTGGGGGAACCGAACATTTGAGTCAGACGCCTCTGAGCTGGCATCCACAAAGATGTTGGGTTCAAGCCCTAGTTCTAGGTATCTTTATTCATGGTGGCGAGATGTTAACTACCTTGCCTGGTATACAGGAGGTCATGGGTTCATTCCTGACCCTGACGCCTGTTGTATATTTGGGGTTTGCATGTTCTCCCCATGGTCACGTGGATTTTTCTCCAGGTCGCCCATTTTTTCCCTCCACATTTAGAAACATGCTTTTAGAGAATTTGGCTGCTATACATTTCCACGTGATAAGCCACTTCGTTGAGCTGTCATTTGTGGCCAGGTCGCTTCTGAAAAGAGAGATAGAGCTCAGTGAGCCTTAGCTGGTAAAATAAAAATAGTTTAGTCTTAGTTTGCGTATTCATGTGTTGGACGTTAACATTCGTGCATTCGCATTGGTTTTCAAGTTTTCACACTGGGCGATGCCAGATATTCCTACGACAGTGCCGGAACCGCCATGGGAATATGGACTTCCCACCGCACTTTCAAGGCCGCTTAATGGAGATGACCACCGCCTGGTGCTCTCATGAGCAGCAAGATGCCGGGACTCGTCGCCTTGCCTGTCGAAAGAGGTCGGCTAAACTCGTCGTCACCTCCCTCCAGCCGTCCGCGGACAGACGAGGAGACACGTCGTCCAGCACAAAGGGCATCTGTGGACGGAGAACGTTCGCCATCGGCACCACTGCATGATGATGATGTTGGTGGTGGTCACAGTAGTGGTGAAGAGGGTACCTAGACCCTAATACTGACTCTTAATTGTTACACGTACCCTAACTCCAGCCCTAACACGATTATGAATACTGATTGACTGATTCTAACATGGCCCCTGTCAATAACCATCATCTTAACATCTCTCGTCATAACCCCCAGCAATACTTCAAAGCAATAACATATAATCTTAACATTAAATGTACTGTACCGATGAACAATAAACATACTACCCCTACCTCTAACACTATCCCTGCCCCTATTTATAACACAACCACTACACATATTACTACCCCTATGGTAATATACTACCATAACCTTACCGCCATCACGAGCTCTGCCGCTAAAACCTACTCCTAGTACAATCCCATAACCTTATCCATGGCGCTAAACGCACCTCTACTTCAACGTCCACCCATGACCCCTAACTCTGGTACTCCTCTACATATAACTCATAACCATAAGCAAAACACAAATTACCCAAATGGGATTACACAGAGCAACATCGCCTCCTGCAGTGAAACTTCTGCAGACTGCCTGTAAAACGCAGCCTCTGTAATGCCTTTGCGCTCTTGAAAATGGTTCGATGAGCAAATGTACTCAGTTATTGTAATTATTTCTGAACCCCCACCTCAGAAACTCTTAACTCCAACCCAGGGGTCGGCAAACTGTGGCTCCGGAGCTTTGACGATTTCTTCGTAACGTTATTCACATTGCATTGCGACTCTTGAAATATTGAGGTTTGTTTTTTACCGAATTCGGAAATAATTACCTCTCATTCTTATTTCGGTTGCCTACCCCTGCCCCAGCCATAACTCTACCCCAACCGCACCCCCCCCCCCCCTCTACTCCCCGAACCCTCTGCCGCATGGCTCCCACCTCCCGCAGGAGTCTGTAGAAATCCACATTGGCGTAGAGGACATCCTCCAGCTGTTGGAGCCGAGGCTGGGGCAGTAAGCAGAGGGCGGAGCGCACGGTGGAACGTGCTCTCGCCCAACGGAACACGAGGAAGCGGCGCAGCAGCTGATCGTCGCACACAATCTCCTTCAGAGACAGCGACGGAATCCCCTCCACAAACTACAGGGAAGTCGGTAGGACCATGGCCGGGTGGTGGGAGGGTGGGGGGAGAGATGAGAAGAGAGGAAGGAGGAGGATTATGGGATAGCCGCAATGAGGTGATGGACATTCCTTGATCATTAGTACGAGTAAAGGTAAACAGGTAAAGGTGCAGCCCTGCAATTGCTTGCTTACGACACTGCTGGCAGAAGGGCCTTTGCTGAAAGGAGCTCTACAGAACACCTCAAAAGGGTATTTGGCCTACTCTGCTAAGCTGGCCACTAGAAGAGATGGACGTATGCAAACTTTACCCGGCCACACGCAATCAACGAACTGTGGTACACCCATTTACACTGTTGGGTCGACAGAGGTGAGGGTATTTAAGAATCTTGTCCCAGTATTCCAAGTCCCACACCACGAGATTGAACCAATGACCTCTGGATAGCAAGTCCAGTCTACTAATCATTATATCATGGTAGCGTCTCAGTAAAAGTAGAAAACTTTTATTTTACTGGAAGATGTAAACATCGTGTTCTGATAACATAAAACATAGTCTTGTTTATAATGGTGTTTGATTTTCAAATCATGCATGTAAAAAAGTGCATCGATAACATAAATCACAATAACAAAATATAAGCTAATGTGAAATTGTATATTACATCGATAAAAAATAGGAATCAGAACTAAATATAAAATCAACCTGACTTTGTCAACTACAATACAGATATAAAATGTAAAAGCAGTTACAGTTTTGGAGTATTGCCATCAAACAATGGTGGCAGCTGCAATGGATTCTGGGTAGTTTCTACTGATGGGCACAGCACGTGATTCTCACCTGCTCCAGGCGGACTCGCATCTCCAGGATCTCGGTGGATACTTGTCTCGGCAAGCCCATGTCTCTCTGCATAAACAACGTGAGGTTCTCATCTTCCCTTAGGAAATCCCTCACCCGCACCCCTCTCCCTAAAAGCAGCAACAACAACAACAACTCTGTCAGCATCATCAACAACATCCTCACAAGACAATAGCAGGTGTTCACCACTGAGTGACAGTGGTGTTATCATGTTACCTAGTGCCAGGCTAGGTGGGCTTTGTGGAGCAGGTGGTGCTCACTTTGAAGGTCATGCACAAAGGGACAGATCCTGGGGAGCATAGATGGAGAGGTTCACCTCTAACACCTTGCAGTGATGATGACTGAGGGAATGTGGGAAGAGAAGTATTCTCAGGAGCTCACAATGAGAAGCTCAGGTGGGTGTGGGTGGACAGGTGAGAATTCGGATGTCATGGGGTGATTGGCAAATGCACCACCAGGTCTCCCAGTCTGTGCCTACCGCTTGACCACCCAAACAGATCTCTTGCATTTGCCATCACAGGTCGATATCCCAACCACTCAACCACTTAATTGCCTTGCCATCCAATTCACTTAACTTTCCATTTCACCCTGTAGCCAGGTTGCCATCCAAGGGTTTGGCACTAGATGTTTTTGTCTTTGTTTTATTGCTGCCGTGCTCACGCACCAGGGATCTCCCTTGTAAAATAAACCAAGCAACTGGCTAAACAGGATCATCCGTGTAACATCAAATCAACTTTAACTTGCCAATTATTTTGTATTATTAATCTAGCTGCCCATATAAGGGCAGTCCCTGACAATGTGGCTGATTTGCAGTCGAGATTCAAGGAGATGGTGGTCCCCACCTGCCACGACGTCGGGCTGGTAGCGCAGAGTCTCCGCCAGGTGGCTCAGACCCCGCACGTCCTCCAGGGCCTCGTCAAATCGCTCCATCTGCGTCTCGTTGGAGAGCAGGTGCTGGATGTCACCTATCAAGCGAGACACGCTGGGGCGACGCAAGGAAACATGGAAAGGTGTTCGTGGTATTCCATTCCCTGCTTGCAAACAGCTTGGTGCAACTGAGCCGACGCCGCTGAGTTAAGGATCTACGTTTTTCTGTTGCTCGTGATTACAGCGGATTTTCAAGTCTGGTGAGTTGATTGAGCATGGTCACAAATTACCACACAAGAATCCCACGACAGCTTAGTTTCCAACTCGCCGAATGAAGGTGTGGTTTTTGTCTCTTGAGAAACGTGGCATGAAGAAAATGCAATTGTGAAGGGACCTCAGAAGAAATGAAATATGCTTTTGCAGGATATTTTCTTAACCAGGGGCTGAAGTGCTGTTCTGCGAGATGGGAAGATAAAAAATGTCTTCAAGGCAGAGACAAGTCACGAGACATCTCTTGACTGGCATGCCCCTTAAATTGGAGGAAAAGCATTAACAATCTGCAGAGTGGGACAAACCTTTATATGTCTCGTGAGGAACATGGTAGCAGCCTCCGCGCTCGGCCGTTGTATGATAGTTTTCTACGTCTCTATGTTTGTCTCCCCATCAGACATCCCTGGATTGTGTCTTTATGCAACTTATCCCGCCCCATCTTACATGGAACCCCCGAAGTTGTTTAGTTGCCCGGGCGTCTCTCCGGGCGTGGGCTGAGAGAAGCAGGGGTTGTTGGCGTTGCACAGGACCCCCTGGAGCCAGGGCAGGGCGCCTGCCGATGGCAGTGGCTTGTTGGGGAAGAAGCCTGAAAGGCGACAGAGGCAGAATTAAGGGGGTGGGAGGGTGGGGTGCAAGTTGTGGCATAGAAACTGTGCAGGAGATATTATGATTGTGAATGGATAACGTCAGCACCACGTTGGCAGCGACAAAACACACGAATACGACGTGACATCAACCGCAAGCATTGCTCACAGCGCATTGATAAGAGCTGGCGTGGATATGTGATCTCTCTCTGTGTGTTGCACTATTAGCAATCTGGAATGGGGGGGGGGGGAGTGGGAACCCGTGGTTTTGATTGGAGGGTTACCATGGTAGAAAGGTTGAGAGCTACTGGTGCAATGGTTTCCATCGTGCGTTTTTTTTTAAATATGTTAATAATTGAATTAGCAGTATGGAAGCTGTCGGGACAACATTCATTTGCATATTTGTAAATAGTGGAGTGTTGTCCTCTCTGCTCTGGTTTGGGTCTCCAAATTTTGGCCAACCCTTTGGGCTAATATTTCCAGTTTTCAATAGGGTATGTTGGATAAACTCAGGGCCGTCCATAGGACGGTTCAAGGCCCGGGGCAAATCACACCGTGTGGGCCCCCTTCGACGCCTCCAAACTAAACCAGAAGTATCACATCTGACATCGTAACGTCGAAGCGCAGGACCTCCCAAAGCGTGGAGCCTGGGGCAGTCGCCCCGATTCGCCATACCCTAGGGACGGCTCTCGATACAAGGGTGATGTTAACTCCCTCCCCTGGTATACAGGAAGTCATGGGTTTGATCTCGACCCTGACGCCTGTTATATATTTGGAGATTGCATGTATCTCTCCCCGTAGTCGCGTGGATTTTTCTCCGGGTCCTCCGGTTTTTCCTTCCACATTTATAATCAACATGCATTCAGGGTATTTGACTGCTGTCAATTTCCACGCGATAAGCTACTTCATTGAGCGATCATTTGTGATGACCAGGTCGCTTCTGAAAAGAGATACATAGCTCAGTGGGCCTTACCTGGTGAAGTAAAAAATAGTTTATAGTTTAATTCTGAGCAGACCTAGGGTGTGGGATGGGGGACACTCACACTGGTGCTGCCTGTAGGGCAGTTGGGTATTCCGCACCAACACGAGGATGACGAAGAGAAAGAGTGGCCATGTTAGTTCCAGCAGGAGGCGGACCTGGGGAGACAACAGGGCGTGCCGGCAGTCATTGAACGGTCTCCTTGACATTCCATTCGACACATTAACGCAGACAATTCAACAGCAACAACGCGACATCCTCTATCCACTGCCCCTCTTTTTGTGGAGGGTGAGAGGGAATAGGGGAGAAGGCAATGGAGGAGCCTTCTAACCCAGGCACCGACTGAAGGCTGCGTGTTCACTTTACCAGGGAATTATTTGGTGATGCTGCTGCTGTGTTGGCAGTGACGCACACACACAAATAAGAAGAACAAAACCCAACACGTTTTTATCAATAACACGTCAAATCACGTCCACACAAACCATGCCAGATGCGGATCCCTGATGCACAAATGGAAAATTAAAAAGCCTCCAGTGTGCGACTATGGTCATCCAGAACAGGCAGTACAACATATCTACAATACGAAGGAGACATCACAGCGATATTACAACTCCCGCTACTCCTGATATACACAATTGGGATGATACAACAAAGCAATCATTGCCCCCTACTGACAGACTAATGCTCCAGGAAACTTGCAAATGAAACTTATCCTGGTGTCTTAAGTTCTCACGTGGTAAAAGCATACGTCATCCATAATACAGGTTACTTTTGTGTTAAATCGTGTAAATATAAATCTGTCGTTAAACCCGCCACCACCCCAACACAGCCAATTAGTAAGGTTTGTCACATAAACAGAACATGCCAATTAATTACTAGTACAGCACACTGGTGTGTTGGAGAGCAAATCCACAACATTTACAATCTGAGTACGACGTTTTGCCAATAATTACACCTAGCTTCGTCAGGCAACATCCTGTTCGTTCCTTAAATAGAGGAATAGATGTGATGACGTCACTTTTGAGCCCTTCACGTGCGAAGGGGGGGGGGGACAGGGTTAATGAATGCATATTAATTACAATTGGTATCCATTACCGGTTGGGTTATTAATATGGTAATCAACGTACATTATGGATGTAGATTATGCATGCACATTGTTCTTGTATCTCCTGTAGTTTGTGTGCTCTAAAATAGCAGTACCTGTGATTGTCTGCGTACAGGTAATTGCCATTGACGTATGGTGACCTGTATAGGCATGCATTTAACAATGTATTATTTGATGATTCGCTTCCAAGCAGCACTAAGCCTGTCGCTATGCGAACGGTTAAAATTGTTTTTTGTTTCTCTAAATTTCGATCGATTATCTCATTTGTCTTGGGCAGTAGTAACTAGTTTTGCACATAATTTCAACATTATCAAAATGCGTGTTCTGCCACTGCCGACAGTTGTATTTGGGAGTATTTAATAATTATTTGGTGTTATTTTAGTCTCATGCTGATTATTCGTCATGTCTGCCCAACATAGCATTTGCCACAAGAGTAATTAATCTGGTATACATATTCTGTTGATAGCTTCGGTAATACATCTTTAGTACCAGATATTATATCATGGGATAACACCGTTTGAGACTAGGCTCAAAAGAAAGCTGTCTCTGGTGTGGACCAATCAGTTTCAAGGACAATGCATTTATTATCAGAGTATGTTTTTTGTTTGCAATTTGACCATAAGTATTGTGGTTAATGCAGACATGATTCCTTGTAAAAGGTTTCAGTTTGGTGTTTTAACAACTTAACACCTGTTTTGTTGCCAGATAAAAGGGGAAAAATGTATGAAAACTTCAAATCTAGATTTAAAAATGTATTCTCATACCAGATATTAGTTTCTGTATGTTATGTACCATGCCAAATCTGACTTGGATGCTTTGTTTTTTTTTAAAATCTGGCTAGTTTATCAGTTACTCCCGCAATATACGGTATTTTAATAGTTTTAATTACCGGTACTTGATCAGTTTCAACGCTCGTGTTATTTTATTTGGTTTTGGCATTCAGTGCCCTGTTGATTTGTGCATCATTGTAACTGTTCAATTGCAGCGCTTCTTTAACATGTTTAATTTCACTTCTCAGGCTATTACCATCTGACACTTTTTTCGCCCGATGTATGAGCGTCTTGATCAGAAAACATTTCTGCGCGGGGTGATGGTGTGACTGCATTCAGATAGGTATCAGTGTGTGTTTTCTTTCGGTAAACGCTGTGTGTTAGTGGCATGTTCTATTTACATGACAAACCTTACTAATTGGCTGTGTTGGGTGGTGGCGGGTTTAATGACACATTTATATTTTCGTGATAAAACCCAAAAAACCTGTACTATGGATATTGGTCGCGAAAGCCTATGCGTTAAACAAAATACATGTCACTAAGCCGACTCTGTTATGCACATTACATTACTGCCTAAACTACCTCTGCAATCTCGGCTTCTAATAACGCCTGTGATTAAAGTGCATGGGGCCCACCGCTAACAGCTCCTCTCGCGTTTGTGTGGAACACTCCAAAGCAAAATGCATGTACTGTTTATAATTGTGTATGCGTGTATTTGCACGCATGTGCGTGTGTCTTGTGAGTGTGCATGTGTTTGATATTGCACCTTCTGTCTTTTTCTCAAAGTAAAATTCTTCCACAGCAACAGACGCAGGTGAGTCCAAAAAGCCATCCTGGAGGGGGGGGGGGGACCGGAGAATTACAGTGACAAACGGGACACTTTACAGGAGCCTTAGTCTGGCTCTATGAACCCTTAGGAAGCGTTAGTCTGGCTTTATGAGCCATTAACGCCGAGCTTTAAGGGAGTATTAGTCTGGCATTATGAGCCATTAACTTTCACGTAACACATGCACAAATGAGTAAAACACACAATAAATTACTTGTGGCTTTCGAGTCTGCACAATTTTTCTGTTGTATTTTTTTAAAATCATCATTTACATAATGATTTGTGCCGCGAACGCTGAACTCCAAGTGAGCCAAAGGTTGGCATTATGAGCCATTAACCCTGAGACCTAAGGATGCATTGGTCTGGATTTATGAACCTTACATGATAACAATGAACTCGTCGGGGAACATAAACTGGTACTGTGAGCCTCCCTCATTAAAACCGAACCCTATTTCGAAGAAGCCTTGTACTGGTTGAAACACAATGTAGTCTGGATAAAACGATCTGACAACAAAACAGTTCTACTAGACTACTAGAGTATATTACATTTATTCAACAATATTTCAATTTGTTTAAATAAGCCACTAGCTGTACTACCCGGCTTCGCCCGGGACTTGGATTCACCACGCCCGCCGCCTTTGTCTCCCCAGTGGCGATGTTCACACAGCAGAGCAGTTACTCGTTTGATGCTGAGTCGACCTAGAGGAGGCCCAGGACCGATAAAAATAATCGTCACTGGTGGTGGCCGTGAGCGGGAATCGAACTCGGGTCACCGGGTTCATAGCACGGCGCGCTAACCGCTACACTACACTGCGTTACGCTTCCACATGCGTGGGTCACGTGACAGATTTGACATCACAGCTCACTAGCCGTGCAAAAATAATGCATAATTGAGCTCCCCCCCCCCCCAAAAAAAGTGTATTTTTATGATTTTTGCATGGTGTACAGTCTGGAAAGTACCCACATGGCAAATTTCCCAGTTTGTTGCATGTCGGGAAGTAGGCTAAACATTTTGAACGACCATATAGTTTCATTATATGGTCGTAAATGACCCTTATTCTGGCTTTGATTCTCAGTTCAAAGCAATGGACCGTAAGGGAGTCCCAGTTTGGCTCTATGGGCCCAGGGCATTAACTCTGCACATGTTGTTAATAATATAAGTGGCTTTTCCTAAGAGGACATGCTTATATGTGACGTTGCTGACCCTAATTCCCAACAGCTGTGAGGAATTGTCTTATATTCATGAGGATTAATTAACAAATGAGCGAATCTAGAGGTTGGCCGGTACACTCATCAATTCACGATGTAATATTATTGTCCTTCCCATGGTAAAAAAAAATGGCCAATCGTTAAATAATTACTGTGATCGTAATCAGGATTACTTGGTTAAATGATGCTAACTGAAGGAGAGAAAGAGCCTCAGTGGTCTCTCATATGGTTAAACTAGCTTTACTACCCGGCTTCGCCCGGGACTTGGATTCACCACGCCCGGCCGCCTTTGTCTCCCAGTGGCGATGGTCACACACCACACGAGTTACTCGTTTGAGGCTGAGTCGGCCAGGACCGATTAAAATAATCGTCGCCGGTGGTGGCCATGAGCAGGAACCGAACTCGGGTCGCCAGGTTCGTAGCGCAGCGCACTAACCACTACACTACAATGCGTTACGCTTCCACATGCGCGGGTCACATGACATCATACACTCACTCATAATATGCTGACTCACTCACACATCATACACTCACTCACACTACCATTGACTCACACATTATACACTGACTCACTTATCATACGCTGACTCACACATCATACACTAACTACCATTGACTCACTCACACATCAAACACGGGTTGTGTCATGCTGACAGATATGGCTGCAAGTTTGTTTGTACATGTTATGTTTATCGTTTATTGTTTATTGTTACATTTTAATCAAAGTTCCTATGTTTACTGTTGTGACATTGTATTTTATAGCTTTGTCTTATGGTTGATATTGTTTGACTTGCATCACACTGGGATTTTTGCACACGGCGTTGTAATACGGTGGTTTTTTTCTGTAAGATTTGCTGGTTTATCCAGGATGTTTCTGTTGCGCGTCGTCGCTTTAAGATTTTTCTCTGTTCATATTTTGTTTGTTGCGGTTGCACCCGACTCAAGAGCCGCATGGCTCACAGGGCTATACCTAATAAATGAAACTTGAGATTTGACGTCACAGCTCACTTGCCGTGCAAAATATATATGCATTATTGAGCTCCCGCCCCCCCCCCCCCCCCCCAAACAAAAGTGTATTTTTATAATTTTTGCATGGTGTACAGTCTGCAAAGTACCCACATGGCAAATTTCAAGTTTGTTGCATGTCGGGAAGTACGCTAAACATTTTGAACAGACAATATATGCCATATATGCCTTTTATATATGGGGAAAAAATTAATTAAATAAATAACGAGTAACTACTTTTTTATTTACCAGGTAAGGCCCACTGATCTGTAGATTTTTTTCAGAAGCGACCTGGCCACACAAATTATAGGTCAACGAAGTGGCCTGTCATGTGGAAATGCATAGCAGCAGCCAAAGAATCTAAACGGATGTGGCTAAATGTGGAGGGCAAAACCAGAGGACCCGGAGAAGAATCCACACGACCACGGGGAGAACACGCAGACTCCAAATATACAACAGGCGTCAGGGTCGGCATCGAACCCATGACCTCCTGTATACCAAGTACGGTAGTTAACATCTCCTAGCCACCGTGGCGCCCTAAATAAATCCTGCCAGTGACGATAAAATGGCCCTAGCGCCTGGTTCAGGAACGTGAACCACAAAGAAAATATATCCCGATGGAGTCTCACCTGGTGAAATGAAGTACTGTATTTCAATCGCGAGAGATGACTGAATGGGTTCTCAACCTGGTTAAATAAGGGATGGCATTCATAACAGGACGGCTCGTCTGATAAAAGAAAAACATCAATTACAAGGGAATTCAACGCAATGAGGTGTCACCTGTTTAAACGACACGAATCACAAGACATAACGATAGTCCATAATAAAAAGTTTCAAGTACGTGTACTGTTCAAGATCTGCAACACGTGGTATAATGGATCTTAAATGGGTCTTGTCTGGTTAAAGGCCGTATCAATAACAAGACAGTCATTATCTCTGTAGCGTTGGCGCACTGTGGCACTGCCGTTATGAAACTCAAAAAGCCGCCATTCTTCACCCGTAATCCGGCAAGAGGCAACCTGACCCAGGGCACAAACCTTGAACCCAGGCTTTCTATGGTATGTACTGGTTCACTGTTTCCGACAAGACCATTACGAACCTTCTGAGAGGCATTCAAACCTAGGGCTTTGAACCCTCACATATCAACAGCGCCGGCACAGCTTCCATGAATGGCATGGCTATTATGATTCTTTGTTTTTTTTCGGTAAAGTCACGTAGAAATAAGAAATAATAAAATTACATAATAGCGTACGACGTTTCGATTGCAACACAATCAATCATCATCAGGTACAGAAGAGCTAAATTTACGAGAGAGAGGAGACACAACCGCAGATATATATACAGACACAGATACAACAGGGGATACAGAGAGATAGACAGGGGGGAGCACACTAAATCAAACGAGGTTTAGCAACATTTGGAAACCAATTTGGAAACCAAATTTTGCTAAACCTTGTTTGATTTAGTGTGCTCCCCCCGTCTATCTCTCTGTATCCCCTGTTGTATCTGTGTCTGTATATATATGCGGTTGTGTCTCCTCTCTCTCGTAAATTTAGCTCTTCTGTACCTGATGATGATTGCTTGTGTTGCAATCGAAACGTCGTACGCTATTATGTAATTTTATTATTTTTTATTTCTACGTGACTTTACCGAAAAAAACAAATAATTATTCCTGCAGTCACGAAAGCTCCAAATTCAAGTTTCATGGCTATTATGAACCTGTCACGGTCATTGTGAACCCCCACCCACGATGAGACATTACCCAAACGCAGGAATTGAACCTCATTATCAACCATGGCCAATCCACTGCTGGATGAAGGCCTCCCAAAATCCGTCGCCCATCTGTGGAGAGCCCTGTGATGTAACAAGCACATACGGACCTCAGCATATTTAATACACACGACCTCAGTAGTGCCGGCTCAGTGCCCTCTGACATAGCCACCGCGAAGCCTCTGAGAAACACACAACAGCCGGCAGAACGTGGCAAAAGTCTCAACATTTCCGCGATTCTGTACACCGACGAATTAAAAGCCCAATCTCTCTTGAACCCACGACGTTTCGCTCACCTGTGCACGCGCGAGACTCCGCTTTAGATATCGACGGCGTCCATTTCCGAACACCCTCCCTGGCCACTACCGCGAAGTGGGCCGCCGGTTCTGCGTCCGAGCGACGTTGTTGTGGATGTTGGACTTGGAACCCCCCACCCACCCACCCCACGGTGGTGTTGTAACAGGTGATTATCTCTCAATGTAGCCGACAGCGCAGAGTCTTTACAGAGTTCAAGAACTCTCTCTCTCTCTGCGTGATGCATAGATTTGGATTAGTCTTAGGGGTAATCAACAAGTCGGGGGGGGGGGGGGGTGGCGGGGGGTGCAGTATAAGCCTGTGTTCTAAAGGGATCTGCGGCGGTGGCGGGCGGCATGGATACCGTGCAGGACAACGTTTGAACGTCCTCCCTCGGGAGATGTGCGCGGCACGTCGTAGCGAGAGAACACAACTGATACGCAACACGACAAGAATGCCTTTGGGGCCGTCCATAAATGACGTCACGCACCTGGGGGGGGGGTCAGACATTTGTGACGATGTCTGACGAGGGGGGGGGTTTGAGAAATGTGACGTCACATCAAAATGCGCGACTTTAAATAAATATAGACAACACGTTCTACTTAATTAAATAGACCTTTTAATAAATGGTTTCTCCTACAACAGCAGAGTGCAGCGCCACATTAAATACGCACTACAATGACAATAGTTTAAAGCGATTTGAAGCATGTTTAAAAACAATTTGGGGGGGGGGCAGAGCTTTGTGACGTCATTTGAGGGGGGTCTGACTTTTTGTGACGCCGTGTGACGATGAGGGGGGGGGGGTCAAAAATCGTCCAAAATCGCGTGACGTCATTTATGGACGGCCCCTGATCAAGATTAAGCAAGACACTGACAGTGCAAAACACAGGGAATGGCTCACGACTCCCAGCCACGATTAATTCATTATACGTAGTACTTCCTCGATAAACAAACTACAGTGTATTATTACGAATATTTATACAGATTGCTAATGATATTTACCTAACTGCAAGATGGATTCACATCATCGGGATTCTATAGATGCACACCACCATACATTTGCATGAATTCACACCACTAGAGATCATACAGATGAACACCACCATAGAGTCACATCACTGTAGAGCCAACCACACTATGCACCCCTGGATATGGGTTCGGATAAAAAAAGGTTTTATACACTTTCACATCACCGCCAGTTCCATACATTTACACCACGTTGGGATCCTGTCAATACCCACGATTTACATTTAAACCACTACACATTTAACAGAATCACATCCGTGTCATTTGCCTAGATTTATACCACTACAGATTATAACATTTAGGCTGCAACAAAATCACACCG